TTTGTGCATTAACTAGTTACCATCAAAGACCATCTTAATTCAGCCAGTACAGCACAGGTTTCTCCTTTAAAGCAACTACTAATGCCTAGCTATCAGTGAATTGGCTGGTAAGGATTAATAGACTCCTTTCCACCTCCAGACCAATCTGTGTGCTCCTCCTTGCCACATTATTGGAATTGTCAATTTGAAGGTTGCCAGAAGCTCCCACAGGGCAATTCCAATAGCAACATTTTAATAATTAAAGTGTGAGTATCATCTCTGAAATAAATTAGCTACTATTGTTTGTGTATTTTATCCACGCTATATTGAACTCTTAGTGTGTCCTGGTTTGAACTGGAGCAGGCTCATGGCACAGGACTTTTGGTGCAAGGGTGAGGGAGAGAGCAGAAGTTTATTTTGTGGCTTTTTTTGGCCTATTGAGTTTAATTATAGGTGGAGCTGGAGCTGGTAGGGCTGCCAATTAAGACTGCCTGACACTTTCCGTTATAAAACCCCATTTTCAGTTGCTTATAACTTTGCCAAACTGTTTAGTCTGAAATGTTACATGCTGGGTCTTTGCTTTTGGCTGAGTTTTTATTTTTGGAAAATTTCAATCAAAATGGGTCAGCAGTTTCTGAGAACTAGGCTAGGGGAAAGGGTTTTGTCCATATTAAAGATCTTTGACAACTTTTTCTTTAAAAAAAATTACTGTCCCCATGCTTTGGAGCAGGAACTTGAAATTTAACAGGGGGTGGCCTTGGGGTCTGGGATGTGGCTTTTGCCATCTCCATTATAAACCCCAAGAGTTTGACTAAGCAATCTGCCTTAGATGCTTATTAGAGTCTTTAGCAGACAAAAATCTGTGAAGATTCTATCCTCACTGAGCATGCATGAGCCTCTCATTACTCATACTGCTGGCCAGAGTGTGCATGTGCTGTCCCCACAAAGCAGATGGAGCAGGCTCTATCTTCTCACAGCTTTGTGACCAAACTGTGCATATACTATCTCTGAGCAACTGAGAATGCTCCAGTTCTGGGCTACAATAGCAAAACTAGACTTTCCCTGTAGTGGCTGGGCAGGGCACTGGAACTAAAGGCCTTTCCCTCCATTAAGAGTGAGGAACCACAGAACCCAGGCAACAAATTATGTCTAGAGACAACAAATGGAAAAAAAAGGTGGGGGGAGTGGGAGTGGGGTCAAAGGTTGAAAATCAGAGATCTAGAGTGGGACTCTGAGCAGAGAACTCCCAACAGCACCCACTGCTCCTCAAAGGTGTCTAGGGAGTCAGTGGACACTGCCCAGAGGAACTCTGCCTGGAGGTGTGATTGTAAAAGGGATCAGAAATAGATCCCACAGTCACAGAGCATCACAGAGCATCACTCTGTTCAGCTTCCTCCCCCTGGTGTGATGGATGGCCCATCTTGGCCAGTACCAGAAGATGGTTGATGAAGAGGTCCTGTGACTTTGTGGGGCCATGGATGGCAGGTGTAGAGAAAAGTGCAATCAAAACCACAGTATGAAGTTTTGGAGGAGCCAGAAGAGGGGCTGCAATCTGATGTACCCTACATAGATGTATGCCAGGGTCTCCCGCTCACTGCAGAAGAGACATGTGTCCGGGGAGTTGGTGAACCATGCCAGGTACATCCCTGTGCTCACAGCTGTGTGGAGGAGCCACCAACTAATATCCCCAGAGGGTCATGGGACCAGAGTGGAGTACAGGCTGGCCTACTGGGGTGTCTCACCCTCCTTGGGAGGCAACAGGTTCCACCACTCAATCTCAGGAAAGGACATGAGGGCAAGGAAGTGGATGGGGTGATGCATTAGCACATCAGATGTTCCCTGGGCACAGTTCAGAAACAGACTGTCTGGATATTGTGCAGCTGGCTCAGGTGACCTGTTGGGGACAGGTGGGGAGGCCTGCAGGGCAAGGGAGTTCCAGAGGGTCAGGGGTGAGTGAGGAGCACTTTCCCACAGGACCCGCTTGAAGAAAGCTAGAGAAGCAGGAGGCAAAGCTGCCCTCACCTCCTGGAGCACACAATAGGGGATGTTCAGGGTGAGCAGCCCCATGCACTGGTAGGGTACTGTGGGGTTCACCCACTCCCTCTGATTGTAGTCCAGAAGATCTCCAAGACTTGTTATATCAACCCCGCCCCCTGCCCTGCCCCTTCTCTGAGGCTCTGCCCCCCACTCCATCCAGCACTGGATGAAATGAAGCCGCGGGCTGAATCCAGGCCATAGGTTCCCCACACCTGCTTTAAACAGTTTGTAAAGCCAACAGTTTCAGCTTATTTATTGGTATCATTCCAATTAAATGCAAGTGCAAAGGGTGGGTGGTTTCAGTTAAATACTTAATGGACACTTGGCTCTTCTGTTCCTCCTTAGCAGTCTGATCAAAAAGGCAAAGGCTGAATACTTGAATGTTGACCTACCTTGAGGTGTTGAGATACACTGGTGGAGCAGTTGGGGGCGGGGTGGAGGTGGGGGGGGAGAAGATGATATGAGTACTACCACTGCCCATGCTCTACCTGTAAATTGGATTCATAGACTGTAAAGCCAGAAGGGACCACTGTGATTATCTCATCTGACCTCCTGGGTAACACAGCCATAGAACATCCCAAAATAATTCCTCTTTGGGCTAGAGCATCTCTTAGAAAAACATCCAATTTTTATAAATCGCCAGTGATGGACAGTCCTGGGTAAATTGTCCCAATGGTTAATTACTCTGTTAGAAAATTATGCCTTATTTTGTCTAGCTTCAATTCCCAGACATTGGATCTTGTTATACCTTGATCTGCTAGATTCAAGAGCCCATTATCAAATATTTGTTTCCAATGTAGGTACTTATAGACTGTGATTAAGTCACCCCATAACCTACTCTTTAAGATAAAAAGATTGAGCTTCTTGATTCTATTATAAATCATGTTTTCCAATGAGGATGAGGAATTGTTTTAAGGGAATCAATAATTAGGACAATTAAAATAAACAAAACAAGGTGTTTTCTACTGTTAATGTCTTTTTATAAGCAGACTATTAGGAAGGAGATTGATGTCACTGAATTCTGAACGGGTATGAGAAAATATAATATCTGGTAACTTTCATGAAATGGTTTGTAATGAATAGAGTTCCTCTATAAATATATAGACTGGTAAGTCTTTCTCCTAGCCCTCACTTATGGAATGAGAGGACAGAAATGATCTGCTGTGTGTTCCAGTGAAATGTCTGAAACCTAGTTATAGAATAAATATGAAATTAAAGAATTAAGAGTTATCTTAAATTTGGGTAAGGAAATATGTGTGTTGTAAAGAAAGGCCCTGACTAGCAAGAAAAAGGAAGGCCTTGAAAGTAATGAGTCATAAGCCAGAAGGAATGAAGTAGAGAAAATGTCTGGTTCAAAAAATAACTAATGAAATAATGGGAAATTTCTAAGAAGGGCTCTGACCAATAGGGGTGCCTGCAGATGATTTTAAATAAGACTTAGGCTTTGTCTACACTGCACTTTCGTCGGTAAAACTTTTATCATTCAGGGATGTGAAAAAACCACTTCCCTGAAAGACAAAAGTTTTACAGACAAAAAGTGCAGATGTGGACCGTGCTTTGTCAGCTCTCCCTCTCTCCCGCCAACAAAGAGCGGCTACATTGTGCATTTGTTAGCGGCACGGCTGTGTCACTAAAAGGCGTATAATGTTGACATAGCCAGAGTATCTTAGAAAGAACCAACGTGGCCCTTTCCACCCCACTTATCAGTGTTGCCTCCAAGAAGAAGAAGTGGATATTCACCCACGAAAGCTCATGCTCCTATACGTCTTAGTCTATAAGGTGCCACAGGACTCTTTGCTGCTTTTACAGATCCAGACTAACATGGCTACCCCTTTGATTCTTGCCTCAAAAATTAGCGCCTATGTGAACCCAGGTGCAATGGAAAAACTGTTGGTCAGCAGGAAGGAGGGGGAAAGATAGGGAGGAATGGCCTTGAGGAGAAAGGAGGTTTTAATCCGGACAAAATTGATAACTGGAATTAAGGGTGAACTGTCTCAATTTTTTTTTCCACTTGTGTCGATAATTCGCAGTGACATCACTTGTTTGTTAAAGGGCATAAAAAAGTAAACTCTTAAAGGGTTCATTGTGGATACCTGCCTGACCAAGTTGGAGCTGACCAATATGTGTCTAAGCATCCCTGGGTTTAGCCCATTTCTAAGTATCTTGATCAAATGCTTATAACTGTTTTGTTACTGTTTGGATGTAGTAAATTGCTTATTATTTAGGCATGTTTAGCGCAATTGTATAAATACCATTTGGCCTCTGGATTTAATAAAGGAATTTATGGTTAAATTAGTGTCATAGTAAGTCACTAAGTATACATCATAATTCCAACACTAGTTCATGATTTTTCCACTTATTTGTCCTAGCTATGGGCAGAACCTGTCAGCCAGAATTACCAATTAATTTCTGTTCAGCAGTGGAGTATTTTCCTTGAAGCAGCATTAATCTCCCGTAAAGTAATCGAGGGCAAAGACTGCTAACTCCCATTTGTGGGTGATGAGTAAGAGGCTTTCCCTAGCATAGGCTGGTAAGTGATAATTTTCTGATTTTTTTATTTTTAATAGACTGTATTATTCCATGCCTTTAGTGTTGGAAACAACCTTCCACCTGTGTATTACAAGGGTAACGCCCTGCTGTCCTCTGCACAAATCCAGCACCTCTGCTCATGCTCCCCGCAGGGCCAGGAAGCAGCAGCTGATTGAAATTAACGAGCCTCCGCTGCCTTTGGCTCCTGAAGCCGCCACTGCTGTCAGTCGCGCTCCGCAGGCGCCGGATGCCCTGGCGAGCGGGCAGCTTTGATGCGCTCGCCCCTCACTGTTATTGGCGAAATGCCGGGCACACGCTCGTGCTCCCGCGGGCGAGCGGGGCGGGGAGGATAACACACCCCCGGGCAGGGGCTGGGCTGGGCTGGGCGAGCAGCAGGCAGCAGGGGGCGCGCAGGCTGCTCCGAGGGGCGGAATCCCGCTGCAGAGCCCGGCGCTGGGCGGCGCCAGCCCCGGCATTGGCCGCGCGCACCCGGGAGGGTCTGTGTGCAGCCCCCGAGCGCGGCGCGGGCGATGGAGGGGGAGGGGCAGGCCCCTCCGCCTCGGGGTGAGCGCGCAAGGCCTGGGCGCTCGCGCCGCCCTCCTCGCTTTAACTCAAACGCGAACGCACAGCACAGGGCCGCTGCTACGCGCGTGCGCAATGTAGGAGCGCTCCTTCCCCGGCAAATCCGGTCTCGTTCAACTTCCGGTTCAAAGGACCCAGGCGCTTCCGGAAAGCGGCCGGGCGGGCTGGAGACTCCGGCGTGAAGCGGCGGCCGGGCCCGGGCCATGCAGAGGTGAGCGCGGCAGCCGAGCGGGGCCCGGGGCAAGGGAGGGCCCGGCCCGTAGAGAGCCAAGGCCCCAACCGGGGCCCCCAGTCTCCTCCCCTCACCCCCCCCGCTGTCACGGTGGCTCCGCGCCCTGGCGCTCGCTTCTCCCGCCTCCCCTGAGGCGTTACAGCCCCTGAGAGCCGGCGAGCGCGGCCCTCCGCTCTCACTGCTGGCCCAGGGCCGCCTTCGGAGCCCTCTGCGTCTGGGGAGCGGGCGGGGGGGGGGTCTGCCCATGGAAACGCTGCGGGAACCGGCTCTCGGAGCCTCTTCAGAGACCCGCCCCCCACAGCGCAGACTGCGCAGAGAGGCTCTCGGGAGTGGTGGCAGACACGGGGGGAGCAGTAAATCGCGGTGGGGGACAGATCGGTTATATAGACCCCGGGGGGTGGGGGGGTGTCATGTGAACAGATTATAAAGCCAGAAAGGGCTGTTGTGCTCTCTGGTCTGACCTCCTGCGTAACCTGGGCCGGGCCATGGGACTTCTCCAAAATAAATCTTGCTGCCTCAAGTCCAGTTGCTCAGGTTGAACTAAAGCATATCTTTTTGGGAGAATATCCAGTCTTGGTTTTTAAATCTTCCAGTGTAGATTCCACCATAACCCTTGGTAAATTGTTCCAATGCTCAGTTACTGCACACATTTTTAACAATGGGGATATTTGTAGTCTGAATTTGTCTAGTTTCAACTTCAAGCCATTAGATCTTGTTATATGTTTTAATACAGCAAAATGCAATGTCATACATTTAGGACCAAGAATGCAGGTCTGTATTGTGCAAATCAGGGACTCTGAAAGGAGCTACTAGAATAATTTGAGGCCTGGAGAATCTGCCTTACAGTGAGATGCTAAAGAAGTTAAATCTAGTTTATCTAGGAGAAGGTAAAGAGGTGACTTGACCATGGCCTACAGATATCTATATAGGGAAGAATAATCTGATGCTAGATGGGTCTTTAATCTGTCAGAAAAAGGTACAATGAGATCCAGTGGTTGGAAATCTGAGTTTGTCTAGCTTCAACTAGAAATAAGATAACTAATGAATAGAACAACGTATCCATGGACATGCTGGATTCTCTATCTCTTGAAGTCTTTACATCAAAACTGGATATTTTTCTAAAATATATACATAGTTCAAATAGAAGTTACTGGATGAGGTTCTTGGGCCTATGTTATACAAGACCTCAGACTAGATGGTAGTCTGTTCTGGCCTTAAAATCTATTAATCTAAGTGAAGCTCCATGCTACCCAGTGCATGTAAATTGACTTCTGGGGCTCTGTAGCCTTGGCAGTTTTTCACATAGATTAGGAACCCCATGGACATGAGATGTTTTGGAGCCTAGGTAGAGTTAAGCACTGCACAAGATTTCTACTGAAAGTGGAAGCTAAATCATTCCCTCTCCCCAAAACACTGGTCAACTTCTTGGAAGTATGCTGAACCAAAATATCTAGGAAAACATACACGAAGTGAGATCACGTCACTATTTTTTTTATTTTAAACTTCCTAGTTCTTGAACACATCTGATTTGCTTAAACTGACCCAGAAAAAAACTGCCATACTGTAAGATCAGTAAGATTTGGAATTTCAGGCAAATTTGTTCAGTTTTGCTGAGGATAGCCAGTCTAATTTTGACTATGAAAGAGACTAGCATCTGCCTATAATAGTATTAGAGAGGGTTCAGTGCAGTTTAGGACAGGTCTACACTACCAATTTATAGCGACATGGCTGCTGCTCTCCCTTGGCTTAATAACTCCACCTCTGTGAGAGGTGGTAGTTACGTTGGTGTGAGAAGCTGCAAGAGGTGGTAGTGAGGTTGGTGTGAGAAGCTGTCCTGCTGATATAGTGCTGTGTACACCGGCCAGTAGGTTGATATAACTATGTTGCACAGTGGTGTGAATAATCCGCACAAATAATTTTATAGTGTAGACCAGGTCTTAGTTTCAATTTCTGACTTGTGGAGTTTAAGAAAAATTATATATTTATTTGAAGAGGAAACAGTCTAAAACAATTAAAGTCACGTAGTATTCCATCTGTAGCGTCTCTAAATATTATATAGAACATTTGCATAAGAAATAGATTTTTAAAAATTCTTTGCATAAATGTGTCATGTTAAGGCTTTTGGCACAACTTTCTCAAAGTACTCTGACTAATGGCTTAAACCAGGGGTTGCCAAACCGTGGCTCACAAGCCCTATGCCGCTTTTTTACAGTTAAAGTGTGGCTTGTGGAACCCCCCTTATTCTCTGCCTACCAGACTGTGGAAGGGAGCTTGAGGCTTTTGCCCTACAGTGGGGTGGTGGGACTAGGTGCTTGCCAGAGATGACTGGTGCCTGCTGAGAGTGAGGCAGTGGCAGATTAGCCATGGGGCCTGTGCCATGGGACCCTGGAAAAATGGATGCCCCTGTACCCCGACCCACTCCGCCCACCTGCGCGGTGCTCCTGCTGGGGAACGGGGTCAGGGCCCAGGGGAGCTTGCCCTGTTCTGTCCACCTCCCTGGTGCTTCTGTTGGGACACAGGGGCTTCCCCTGTTCCCCAGCAGGAGTGCTGGGTGGGGCAAGCCCCCATGCCCTGAACCCATTTCCCTGGCAGGAGCGCTGGGGGGAGAGGCGGGGGGACTGCAGGTGGAAGGGGTGGGGAAGGGCCCCCACTTGCTCTGGCCCAGGTCCCCACAAAAGCTTAATCTGCCTCTGAAGTGGAGGGGCACAATTTAAAGGTTCAGCCCCTGCTACAGCTCCAGTCATGTCCCTCTCTTCTCTCCTCTCCCCCCCCCCCATGCCCACCTCTTATCCTCATTGGCCCCTCCCTGCAGCTCCCAGGTGTTAGCTCTGCATAGAGAGGGAGTAGCAAATTGCTGGGAGCTGCAGGGTGGGGCTGATGCTTTAGCTCCACAGGGAGGCAGCAGCAAAAGCAGTGTCTCTCCCTGTAGCTTCCAGCTGTTTGCTGCTGCCTCTCCCCATGGCCACAGCTCCCAGCTTGCCAGCTCCAGCAGCTGCTGTTCAGGGAGGGGGCACAGCAGCGGCACCATGTGACTGAGCAGGGCCCGCAAACTCTTGCAAAAATCTGAGGGAGCATGTGACCCCCATGTGGCCCCCCCCCACATCTCCTCTGGCTTCTGCTCAGCGGGGAAGGAGGGGTCTTAAGGTTCAGCCCTGTGGGGTGCGCCTTCCAGAGCCCCAGCAGGCACCTCCCAGAGCTCAATCCCTGAGACCTCCATCGCCACATGGCAGAAGCCCCAAGCTCCACCACCCCACCGCGGGCCCCAGCAGGCGCCTTCCATGGGGCTGAAGCCCTGACCCCCAGCAGGTGTGCCTTGGCTTTCAGACTTCTGAAGATTGTCATATGTGGCTCGGAAGGTCAGTAAGTTTGACCACCCTGGCTTAAACACTGCAGCCTCAACAGCATTATGAGAATCAAGTGCTCCACAAGAATTTTTTAAATAAAGGCTATTGCTGGATAGATATCAGTATTTGGAGTTCCAGTTTTAAGTTTTTCTTTTTTTGATACTAGTTTTTCTTTTTAATTGGACTTTTGAGTTAGTGCTATAAAGTTACTGGTTACACTTCTCATCCTTTTGGGAAATGTAATCTGAATGTGTTTACTTATAGCAACTATATTCCTATTTTGTAGGAATGAATTTGGAGAGATGTCATCCCCACAAGATGTAGATGTGACCAGGCCTGCTCGGAAACAGAGCTCTAAAAAAAGAGTTTCTAGTATCCTTTTTCTGTCAAGGTTTTTTTCTGCCTGTTTTAAAGGAGATAAAAATTGTGATTGCTGAATGCAGCAGTTAACTTTTCATAGTAAATGAAGACTTTCCAAAAATTGAATTCTTGTCAGGTGAAGAGTACTGTAAAACGTAATCCTTTAATTTCATACACATTTGAAGTCACAAGTTACATTGAAGTATACGTTAATCTAATTATTGAGATCTTTATATCTACTGTTTTAAAAGTAACTTCTGTCTATAACTGAAAGAGTTTAGGGAAAACTTTTTTACTCTTTCAGTTAATTTGCTTGTGCACTCAACAGCAATTTGTGTTTCACTGTTTCCCCTATGTAGTCCTTCAGTTTTTCCTATGTTCGCATGAGGTTTTCATAGAGGAAAAGGGGGGATATTTTTAAAAATATAAAAATGTGATTTTACAAGCACAAAGATTGGTTGGGTGGCTTGGGATGTGTGAAGCTCCTGGAACATTTTGACTCCATATTTTGTTTTATTTTTAATTTGACTTGATTCTCAGTTAAGTCTCCCTTTAATAACTCTTAGTGAAACTAGAAAATCCAGGTTAGTTTGATTTGGAAAATGAATATTATTGTGTATTTAGCAGCATACTATACCACCTTGCCTGTTTAGCAGAACTTTTCCAAGTGATTCTTTAGGACTAAACTGAGAGACAGTTGTATTTTTATCAGAGGACAGTTTTGCAATAATTTGTGTTTTGTCTTGTAGGGTTCCCCTAGCTCCTCTGTTATGTTTGTTTTAAACTTCAAAATATGTTCTAGGATCTAGGTTATTTTCATAATATACTTAGATCAAGGATTGAATAATTAATTTATCCAGGACTGGTGGGAAGCTTATGTAAGAGTGTATATGGGCATAAGTTATCAATTTCTGCAGAATTTAATGGTTTGCTTTCAAAAATAGTTTTTATGGTTGAGAGAACAATTTTCTGTGTGAATTAATGCAGTAATATTTTTCTGAAACTGAGAGCAAAGGAGTCCAGCATGTCTGCTGTTGCTGGTAGCTTTCCTAAGCAACTACAGAATAAAACTAACAAGATGCTGGTCCTTTTCAGAATTCTGAAGAACAGCAGGGAAACTGGTAGGGAAATTGACAGGAATCATGTGAGTTTCATGCTGCTTGGCAAATCTAGAAGCAATCACACATGGGAGTTATGTATTGAGTAGGAGGAACCACAAAACAAATTGAGGAAAAGGTAGAGGAGAAGAGAATTCTTCTCCCCCAGCCTCTCCAAAGCAACTAGCAGGCTTATGTGGCTAGAGAGCAGATGTAGAAAGCTTTTTTTTTTTTTTTTTCTTTTCTTTCTGTGAGGGGTGGAACTTCAGATTAAGCAGATATAATACCCTCCTCGATCCCAGCACCTGTGCATCTGGAATACTTCCCAGAGGGTTTCTCCTAGACCCCTCACTGTGAGTCTCCCTCTATCCGCACACTCATCTTCAGTATCTACCTAAGGTTAGTAGGTTTAACCTTAGTCCTCCTAGCTATTAAGTCTGTGGTAAATAGTCCCTGTTAGATAAGCTTGAAATATCTCTTAGCCTTGTTAAATTTAGTGGACTAGATATACATTCCTTATGGTATCTTAAGGATTTCTAAAGGTGCTATTAGCAGAGATGGCTTATTTATATTATAAATCACTCACAATAGTTTTGTAATGGACCTGAGATGGAGTTTACGGCATTCTTTCTTAACGTGTCCACCAGTTCTTGCATCACTGGATGACAGTCTTGGTAATGGAATATCAAGAGGCCAGATAGTTCCCCGAACTCCAGGGTCATTGCTTCGCCAGTCCTGTAAGTTGTTTGTTTTTTTTTGTTTGCCCTTCCCCCTCCCCCTTTCCTTCTCCACTTCCATGTATAGTAAATTGTAGTTTGTGATTACACAAACACTAAATGTTTTGTTTTTTTCTATATTTTTTTCTCACTATTCTATTTTACCTCAAAGACTTTATTCTGTAATTGTCTTAAAGTTCGTTAATGCTGAGACAGTGTTTCTTTCTGTGTAGCAGCAGGCATGCTGACAAAGCCCAAATAATAATAGTAAAGATAATGTTACCCAAACTTTGAGAGAGAAACAGTTCAGCTCTTTCCTTAGTTAACTGAATGTAGGACTTCATAAGTACATTTACAATCTCAGTTACTGATTTTTATTTTTTTTTTTGGCAACAGAGCTCCATATCCTTAAACTTTCTTTTTAGAAAAATATTGTTTTGCTTTTCAGTTACTCCACAAACACGAGGTTTCACAAAGCAGCTAGATATGTCTACCATCCTGGGAACAGGAGGGAAATCGCCTCAATTTACGCATACTCCTGGATTCTTTGGCCATCTGTCTATGGTATGAAGATTATAGGGCATGTTGTTCTCCCTTCTTCGCTCATACGAACCTTATGACAAGGTAGAAGTGCTTACTGTGTTCACATACGTTTTGAAATAAGCAGGGTGGTTTGCTTTTAACCAAAGCTATTTAAATCACCAAATGGAAAACCTCAATTTAAATCCTCAATTTTAATCAACTTTTCCGTTTGTATTACACTTATTTTCTAAAGAAAGGTGCCTTCTCAAAATGGTTAATATAACCATTAAAACTGGTTGCTTTATAACTAAATACAGCCTTTACATTGGAGTTGGGACATCTTTCTGCTACCTAGGAGCAAAATACCTATATACTGTATACATTTATTAAGCAATTTTATTGCTTAATATTTTCAGATTCCTATTAATTGTACATTTTGAATATTAGAAAATGGTAATTTTCTTATTTATTAATATCTTTTTGCTCATGATTTGTATCAAGCTGCATTAGGATAACTAGAATTTAATTAAACACACAACAACATATAAAGTTTTTTTTTTTTTTTTAAACAAAACAACCCTAAATGTTTTGGATACATAAACGTCTCTTATCAAAACATGTTTCATATTTACAACTAAACTATTAAAGGAACAGAGGGATCGACTGTAGTCAGTGAATTAAACTGATTATATAAGGTCAGCCTGGGAAAACTTTCAGTATGCCCAACTGAAAGTGACTGAAGCATAAGTTCCCACTTGCCAAAGTCTCTTAAAAATGAGACAACAGTCTTCTAAATTATTTAGGCTGTCCTTCAAACTTATAACTAGTAGGTCTCATCCCTCCCTCTGCATTTGGCTAGAAGGTAAAAAGGCCAAGATAGAAGAGAAGCAGGAGGAATAATGTGGGAATGGAATTTGAAAAACAGGTTGGAGAATAGCAAGGACCTATGTTCACATTTCAGGAGGTGCTTAACATACTGCCATGAAGATGATGATGTCTGATTCCCTGTCCTCATTGGTTCAGTGAGAATATCCCTCAGGGTCAGGGAAAAGACCTAATGACAAATCACTGGGACCTGGCATGTAGTGTTGGTGATGGTAACCATGGTGATGATTATTAGGATGCTTGTCATTGTGGTGATAGCTCCAGTCTCTGTCACTCTCAGCCAGCTTGCTGCTGTGCTCATCTGGGTAAGTTACCACAGGTTCCCCCAGAAATAACCAAAAGGAATGATCGCCATGTCCCATCAAACTTAAGTATTTTCCTTAGTCCATGTTTGTACTGGGGCTGTCAAGCGATTTAAAAAAAATTAATCGTGGTTAATTGCTCTGTTAAACAATAATAGAATACCATTCATTTAAATATTTTTGGATGTTTTCTACATTTTCAAATATATTGATTTCAATTACAACACAGAATACAAAATGTACAGTGCTCGCTTTATTTTTATTACAAATATTTGCACTGTAAAAAACAAAAGAAATAGTATTTTTCAATTCATCTAATACAAGTACTGTAGTGCAATCTCTTTATCATGAAAGTTGAACTTACAAATGTAGCATTATGTACAAAAAAATAACTGTTTTGTTTTTGAATGCAATGTAAAACTTTAGAGCCTACTTCTTGTTCAGGCAATCGCTCAAACAAACAAGTTTGTTTACATTTTCAGGAGATAATGCTGCCCGCTTCTTGTTTACAGTGTCACCTGAAAGTCAGAATAGGCGTTCGCATGGCACTGTTGTAGCCAGCGCTGCAAAATAATATTAAAATACTTGTAATAAAAATAATATAAAGTGAGCAATCTACACTTTGTATTCTGTGTTGTAACTGAAATCAATAGATTTGAAAATGTAGAAAAACATCCAAAAATATTTAATAAATTTCAATTGGTATTTTATTTAAGTGTGATTAAAATTGCAATTAATCATGATTCATTTTTTAATCGTGAATAATTTTTTTGAGTTAATTGCGTGAATTAATTGTGATTAATTGGCACCCCAGTTTGTACACTTTCTCTTTTTTTTTTTTTTTTTTTTTTTTCTTAAACATACCTTTAATCTTATAACCTCACCTGAAGCCTTGAAAACTCCTAATGAACAGTTTTAATTCAAACTGTTTTATGTCACTTTTTGGCTCTGTTCTGTGACCTTTTTTTTCCCCAGCAGCTCTCTTAACTTGCTTGTAGGTTAAAATTATTCTGTTGCTTTTCACCCACTTTGGACAACTTAAAACTTCAGCCCAAGTTAGGGTTTGACATAATACGGCTTAGGGAGAGAGGAGGATATGTATTTTGAGAGTGAAATTTTGCATCCTTCCCATTAGATTAGAAAATCATGTACATCCAGACTTGTACCTTTTTAAAAAGGCAAATCTGTCCTATCTAAAAGCTGAGTCATTTTTAATTTCTAGAGCTACTTTGCTTGTATCCATAAGAAATAATCATAGAATGAAGAAGCTTGAAAGTTCCTGACAGTCTAAAATTGCTTTTATTTTTCCCTGTGTTGTTCTGTGTTATGTTTTTAGTTGGATGACAGCAATTGGACAGCTGCACTCACACCTCCGCATACAGGAATGTACACAAACCTAGACTTGTCCAATGTGACAGAGGATGTCACCATGAGTGCTGTTCTGTTGCGTGAGGATGATCCCGGAGAAGCTGGTGAGATGACTTTGAGCTTTCACAACAAAATAATGAAACTATTATCTTGTGCAATTCTTAGATGTATGTTCCACTTCCTTATTGTAATGTTTTTCCAGAATATTCTTGCCTGACTCTTCCCCCCCTTCCCCTTTTCCCCCCCCCCCCCCATTCCTTCTACTTGCTGGCTGGAGACGATACTTTGTGAACTTTCTTGTGACTGAAGTTGCCTTCAGGAAACTTGTTAATCATTATTGAGAGAAAAGAGTTCTTTACGATATGGAGTCACAAATAGTCTGTCAGTTCTAGAGATTTAAGGTGTAAAACAGCTGCATCTTATGGAGCTAGGCACTTTTGGTATATCTTTAAAGCTTTCTCATATGACCAGGTCTGTAGCAAAAGATGTGGTATAATTGCTGTGTCCTTATGTAATTCACTTTCTTAGTTGCGGTGGTAAATTTGCATGACATTCTGCAGGGTGTACATAGTTCATGTAAGTGTCTGCATTTTATTTTCATCATGACTGCACCAAAGAAGAGCTGCAAATGAAATTTTATTGAAAAATAGAGCTTTGTGTAGTCCTTGAAAATGTTGAATATAAATTTTCTCTGTCAGGAGAATTTCTTTGTGTTTTCAGTTTTTCACAAAGTATGGCATGCTATCATGACTCTTCTTTAATGTGTTCTAGCTACTATGAGTATGTACTCAGATTTTCTGCATTCGTTTTTGAAGCACACTTCAACTACCGTTTTTGAACTTGTAGAAGAGTATGAGAATACTTGTAATAACCAGGTAAATTGTTGTAAAAATTTCAAGTTGTATTTCCTTTCGTAAGAGGTTGTGTTGCTGAAACTAGGGACGTTTCTCCTTTCCGACCAGAACTGCTAGTCAAATTTTGGGGCCCGTTGGATGTTACAGTTGGAAGGAGTTGGGCATTTTATTTATTTACAAGTAATGTACAAAGTCCTGCTCCTCTGAACACGAGAACCAAAAACAAAAGGAGCAGTTTCTTAGCTTACAGCCCCAGGCCTTTTTAGCCAACACCAGACCCAAAAGCGCTCTGTAGCTTTTCCCAGGGTTATAGAGTAGTCATAGACTCCTAGGACTGGAAGGGTCCTCAAGAGGTCTTCTAATCCACTCAGGTATTATCTAGACCATACTTGACAGGTGCTTGTCTAACCTGCTTTTAAAAACCTCCGATGATGGAAATTCCACAACCTCTCTAGGCAATTTATTTCGGTGCCTAACCACCCTGACGGGAAGTTTTTTTCCTAATATCCAGCCTAAATTTCCCTTGCTGCAATTTAAGCCCATTGCTTCTTGTCCTATCCCCGGGGTTAACGAGAACAATTTTTCTCCCTGCTCCTTGTTAACAACCATTTATGTACTTGAAAACTGTTAACATGTCCCCCTTGAGTCTTCTCTAGACTAAACAAACCCAGTTATTTCAATCTTTCATCATAAGTCATGTTTTCTGGACCTTTAATCATTTTTGTTGCTCTTCTCTGGACTTTCTCCAATTTGTCCACATCTTCCCTGAAATGTGGTGCCCAGAACTGGACACAGTACTCCAGTTGAGGCCTAATCCACTGTGGAGTAGAACAAAATAATTAGTTCTTGTGTCTTGCTTACAACATTCCTGCTGATACATCCCAGAATGTTTGCTTTTTTTTGCAAGTGTTACGCTGTTGACTCTCATTTAGCTTGTGATCCACTGTGACCTCCAGATCCTTTTCTGCAGTACTCCTTCCTAGGCAGTCATTTCCCATTTTGCATGTGTACAACTGATTATTCCTTCATAAGTGGAGTACTTATTGAATTTGTCCTTATTGAATTTCATCCTATTTACTTCAGACTATTTCTCCAGTTTGTCCAGATCATTTTGAATTTTAATCTTATTCTCCAGAGTATTTGTAACCCTTCCTGGCTTGGTATCATCCTCAAACTTCAAGTGTACTTTATAAGTGTACACTCTAGGCCATTATCTAAATAATTGATGAAAATATTGAACACTACCGGACACAGCACCGATCCCTGTGGGATTCCATTCAATATGCCCTTCCAGCTTGACTGTGAATCGCTCATAACTACTCTGGGAATGGTTTTCCAACCAGTTATGTATCCACCTTATAGTAGCTCCATCTAGGTTGCGTTTCCCTGTGTCACAGTGCTCATGGCTAGTGCTTGGCTTCCTTGCTTTTTTTGCCTTTGTGCCTCTGTTCTTGTCTGTTCTCGCTTTGTGTTCTCTCATACACCCCCACACACCTGTTCACAACACCCAGTGGAATGCCCCCGCTATCAACCTGGTGCTAGTTTCTGGGCTAATTCTATTAGGTCTTATTTTAGGTATGCCCCCATAAGTGTTTCTTAGATCTATCTTCAGTGAAGGGTGCATTAACACATCAGTTTGAATGAGGTTTTAACTCCACCTGTAACCAGGTTTCACCCAACTCCACTCCCTCTCCTCCTCACTTGCTGATGGGGTCGTCGCCCACAGTTTTGGGAACCACTGATACAGCTGTTAAAATTATTTCTACCTCTAGAGGCAGGACAATTCAGTCACTGCAAAACAATTGCCTACAAGCCGTTTGTCTGACTTGGGCCATATCGTGAAAGGAAATTTGTAAGACACCTTTCCTGGCATTGATTACACCGGAGGGATAGCTCAGTGGTTTGAGCATTGGCCTGCTAAACCCAGGGTTGTGAGTTCAGTCCTTGAGGGGGGCCATTTAGGGAACTGGGGTAAAAATCTGTCTGGGGATTAGTCCTGCTTTGAGCAGGCGGTTGGACTAGATGACCTCCTGAGCTCCCTTCCAACCCTGATATTCTATGATTCATTGCCGTTACTAACCCTAATGAAATCCAAGCTCATCCACTGTTTCTGCCACCCAGACTCCTTGCTCGAGTTCCAAAGTCCAATTTTTGGATGGATGCCCTTGCCCCCATCACTGTCTCCATTAAGACTGGTTAGGTGGTTCAGTATTGGATCCCCGATTCCCTAGCCTTTTAAAAAGTCTGGTTTAATAACTTTGTTTGAGCCAGCATCAGTCACCGCTGTGCTTGATTTACGGATCCTATTACGCACGCTAGCCAGACTCCAGTTATTGTTTGTGTAACTGCCCATATCTGACCAAAAACTATGGGGCTGATCCTTGCTCCTCCATGAAACTTTATCCCCATTAGCTTGGTGTACTCCTATTTCCTGAACAATGAGAGGCTTTCACTAGACACTTACAACAGTCTGTCTTGCCCTGTGTTAAATTTACAGCAAACCTTTTTTTGTGTGTCCAGTTTTAAAACATTACCAGCATTTAACTGAACTGTTTCCTTTAATTTTTGTGTCATTGCCAGTTTCCCTTCTTTTACAAACCAAATTTATCACTGTTTCTAGTCATTCACTAAGATCATGAACCAGATTAGAATCCCCTCTTTCACAAAGCTATGATTACAGGACACGTGGCAATCCGCTTCTATCTTCCTCGCTAGTGGTTGTTTCCTCTTATCATGCACTGCTGCAGGGAAAGATTCAAGTTTTGTGGCAAATTTCACTTGATCTGCAAGTCCAAGTCCAGCTGAGCATCTATCAACTGGTCCATCACCAACTTGTCCTGGGAGGCCTCATTGGTATCTTGGTATGCCAAGAACACAAGTTTCTGCTGGTCCTCTTCTAGGTCAGGTGGGGTTTCTTCTTTCCCTGTCCTAGCTCTTATCTGTGCCCTGGCCAGCTCAGCTTGATGGCTAACTCCAAACTGCATGTCAAGGGCTTGTATCAGTTCTGGATAACTGTTTTCTGGGATTAAGTTCTGCACAATCAGAGCTTGAGCACTCAAGTTGGCTGCTAGTAATTCTCCTTTCTTTCCCTCTTCCCAGCTATTACTTTGATAAACAATGTTGAAGTGAACCACATAAGCCTCACATGGAGTCATTCTCTCAAAGGTAGTGAGTTTTTGCACCACTGGAGCTGGGACAGCTGGACCTCTCCTCTCTGGGCCTCTGATTTACAAATGTGGTAGGAAAGTGTTGTGAATATCCAGTTTTACCCAAGTCCTTTGGCTGGCTCAATTCCTCATCCAGACAGCTGCCTTCCACGGTCATCTGTGACGCTTTGTTTTCCTTCTGGAGCTGAATTTTCCAAGTGGGCTAAAGCTTACCTGGTCTCCATGATTTCATGGAAAGACTTCTGATCTGTGGCAGTCAAGTTGCTGGTCACCTCTATGATCTGTCTTGCCATTCCAGCCGGAGAGCTTTGCAGCTGGGCTTCACAACCTGTCTGGACACTTTGAAGTTCTTGCCCCAACAGAGATTTGATCTTCACCTGCAAGTCAACCTTCAGCCCTTTCTGAGAATTCTCCAGATGCTGCTTTATTTCTTTTTGTGAAGCCTCCAGGTCTTGTTTTAAATTCCTTTATCCATCTTTATTCAAGCATCGCCCTCAATTGCTCCATCTTGGTTCAACAGGAAGACCAGCTCACAATTTCTTTTTGGAAACTGGTAGAGCCCTGCGTAGATACAAAGTTCGTATCTACGGATATAAATCGGTATCCGTGAACCCGCAGGGCTCTACCAGGAACTGCAGCGGCGAAAGCAGCAGCATGTCAGGACGCTGCTCCCAGGAGCCTGCACCGGCAGCTCCTCTGGCGTTGCTGTACTGCCACTGCCCCAGCCCCACCCACTGGGGTGGGCACCAGGCTCACCAGCATCTGTCCCTGGTCGTGCTAGTGTGTGCGAGCGGCTCGTAGGCCCCGGACACGAGTCCCTTCCACGCAGCAGCCTGCGTCTCCTGTCCAGGGGCGTACGAGCTGCTCCCATGTCCCCTAGCATGACCAGGGACAGCTGCCAGTGGGCAGAGCTGGGGGCAGTACAGCCATGCTGGAGTTGCTAACAGAATGGGGCACTAACTCCTGGGAGTGGTGGCCCGACATGCTGCTGTTTTCACCGCTGCATTCCCAGTAGAGCCCTGCAACATGAGACCCAAAAGTTCTCTTTAGCTTTTCCCAGGGTCACACTGTGCTCACAGGTTAGCACTTGGCTTCCTTGCTTTTTTTTAGGTCTTGTTTTATGTGTGGCCCCATAAGTGTTTCATGCAGCTCGTAACAAGGACTTAATACGTTTCCCTTCAGTTAATGAGTCATGATGCTTAGAACTGACAATTTGCAATTGTTCAGGCAGTTTGGGGTAGGCTTAGGCCATGTGTACACTACATCTTATACCGACCTAAGTTACGTTTCTCAGGGGTGTAAATAAACCACCCCGAGCGATATAAGTTACACTGACCTAATAGCCAGTGTGGACAGCGCTGTGTCGGTGGGAGAGCTTCTCCTGCCGATTATAGCTACCGCTGCTCCCGGCAGGAGAGCTCTCTCCTGTCGGCTTAGAGCATCTGTACTAGTAGTGCTACAGCAGCGCAGCTGCAAAGCTCTGTAGTGTAACCATAGCCTCAGTGTTTCTGCTCCCAACTAATGAAATGAAAGGTGCTTGCTTGTTTTAAGATCTATCTTAGCTAACAGAGAGTACTCAGGGTAATGCAAAAATTATTTTAATGGCTTGAAACACAATAGAAAATGGATAACATACTGTTTATCATTATTGACATCAGGTGAATATACTGGGGAAAATAGTTTACCGAGCAACTCCTGGACAGCAGAAGTTTTCAAAGACTGCCAGTGTTCTGTGGCTTCTCAAGCAAGAGATGGTAACCTGGAGACTACTGTCCTCACTTTACAGGTAAGTTTTTTGGAAAGTATGTTGGTTTTACTTTTGCAATGAGTTAGTCACTTGGATGTACAGACTACCAGATTTGTATTCTGCATGGAAAAATAGTGAAGCAGCTTTGCTTAGCGTAAACACATTGCATAAATATTCATAAGAGTCACAATTAACTTGTCATTGCCTAGGTATTAAACATGAATGCTAGATCGATCAGTGAGTGGCTTCTTATTTCATTTGTATTTGTAGGGAAGACTTACAGTGGGAGACACATAACCTTAACTTTTTTCATAACCATGAATAAAATTTTGTACTTTTGTCTCTAGAGATAGAATACAGTCTGCCCTGGAAGATGAAACAATGTTTGAAATTGCGGTAAGCTTCATGCTATAGAGAGCCCTTTTATTTTTTTAAGGGACAACTTTTAAATCTAAATACATTTGTCTTCATTGTTTGCAACCCAAATATTGCACCACTCAGAACTTGATAGTAAAACTGAATGTAAACAAAAATTAAACTGATTCGATTTTCATTGTCTAAGATGAGATAAATAAAAAAAAATCCTCCAGGTTTTAGCAAGAGCCTCTTTCTCCTACTTTTGGTGAGGGTTTAATGGGAGTTAGATCTGTCTGGCAAAGGGGGAATATTGTGTTGTGCTGACTGATCAGTTTTTCATTTTGTAACTTACAGCAAGGGCACTTAGAACCTTGAGTTAGTGCCCACTTTTATTTTTGTAGAAATCTAAAATAAATACTTGAATAACCTGACTGGGATCCAAAGTATACCAGTAACTGCTACCATTATCTAACTTGTAACATGTCACCTATGGACTGATTCTGCAATCTCATGTTTAGACGTCATTTTATTTTATGGTATAGAACAGATATACTTTCATATCTTGATATAATGAGTTATTTTTTTCTAAGCTACCAACATAAAACTTGTAGAAGGTCAGTGGATATGATATTAATTTGCCTTCCCTGAATTCTCTTGTTTTTGCCATTTACATTCTGACACTTTATTTTTTTTATTAAAAAATAAAAGCTTTTTCTTAAATAGGTTCTAAATGCTAGCGAAAAGACGGCTGTAGGCATCTTGTTTCAGAAAGACTCATTGGTTCGACAAAGCCAGGTATGATTTAAAGATTGAGAAAGATATGGGAGTAGATAAGCTAACAAGCTTTAGATATTCATTATACTCCATTATAAACTATAACAAATGCTATGTAGAGTATTAAACTGCTTCTAGCACTATATATTTCTCTAAAATGGGTTTCCTTGGTTATATAACCTCATTAGGGATTGTATGCACGGTTCTTTTTGTGAAGGCAAAAGTTTCTTAGTTTCTGCATTGATGGAGGCCAGATACGTTCTTGAAGTTAATATGAAAAGGGCAGAGGATTAGGAGTCTTTAGAGCTAGCCTCGTCTGGCCTATCCTTTACTAGCCAACATATGGAGCAGAATAAGCTGCTAATCAGTATTGTAACAGGAATGGCTAACAAAAGCTGGGATTGAACATGCAATCAGTCATGCTTGGTTACTTAGGAGATATGGGTGCAGTGATCTGGAGATGTATATACATTTTAGGATACAAAGATAATGAATAGGCTAGGATTGGGCTGGGAGGCTGGTATTATATTTGTAACAGGAGTGTTTTAAAAAACAGCTTAATTTTATATTCCAGCTGGTGGTAGATTGGTTAGAGAGTATTGCCAAGGATGAAATTGGAGATTTCTCTGACAACATTGAGTTCTATGCAAAATCTGTATATTGGTGAGTTATTGAATCATCATTAAGGGTCATGCAGAAGTTTTCTCTTGTATTATGTACACTGACTGCATGCTTCCTACAAGTATTAAAGCAAACTGGTTGATAAAGCTGTTTTACAACTTGCTGTTAGTTTTTTAAAAACCTCTAAGAATTAAAAAAGAAAATGAAAGGAGTTGCCAGCTTTTTAAAAGCTAAGGATGTTTTTTGGTCAGCTGTTGACACGGCGACTTCCCCAAAAAAGAGAATTCAGTGCATTTCTTTAGGGAAAACAAAAGTGATGTAATGTGAGTGGTTTTAATTTAACCAAGAGGCAAATCATTAACTTCACATTTATTTATTTTTGTGAGCAATATATGTAACAGACAAGAACTGATTTGTCTACAGTGGCTAGGTTACTGACACCACTGTGCTTGCTTATTTATGCAAACACACCTGCCTTTGTTGCTGCCTTGTTTTACCCCTTTTTGTCTATTTATTCAATTGTCAAAATCCTAGATTGTAATTTTTCTCTGCCAAGGGACTGTCAGTATAGTTTATCCAATGCCTAGTGCAATAGTACCTTAATCACTGTTTGAGGTCATTAGGTACTACCACAATAGAAATAATTAATAGGTAGCTGCCTGATAGTAATCTTATTATTTAAGATGGATGAAATAGTTCACATTTGTGTGTTAATACAATGATCTGTCCCTTCACTTGCACCTTTTTATTTCTTTGCTCAAGTCCTTGTCGTCGTTACTGTGTCTATAACGCCTTGGCAACAGTAGTTCTTGTCATATTCATTCTCAGCAATGGGTTCAGGTCAGAAAATACCAAATCCCACCATGGATTTTAAATCAGACTTGAAAGGCCAATGATAAGTTCTGGAATCCTGAAGTGAACTGAGTGTGCTAGGCTGACTTTAGAATTTTAATATACAATCTAGTTTACCACACTGAAATGATTCCATTATTTGGATGAATGAAACAAATCTAGGTGAATTTGATCATATATCAGTTGGTGGGCTACTTTCATGTTTTTAGCTGAATTATATTTACACAACAGTATTATAGCTGACAGGCCTCAGAGTAAACTGTAGAAATTGATACTTTGATTCTTCACAAGATGGGTTCTGTATCCATTACTTTGTTTTGATGTGCCATTTTGAAAAAAACATTTGATATCTTAAATGTCTCTTTAAAGAGAACACTTCTCATTGCTTTTAGGGAGAATACTCTACATATTTTGAAGCAGCGACAGTTCAGCACATACATTGGAAGTACTCGTCCCCTGGTAACTGAACTAGTAAGTATAATTTAAAATGTTTGGCTTCATAGTAGGTGTAAATTGGATTTTTGGGGTAACTAGTGTTTTTTTTTTTTTCCCTACCTAGCACAACTTCCCCAAAAGGTCAGGAGTTCTGTCTTAAAAATGGAAAAACTCCTGCAGTAGACTTCTTTTTTATGATAGCAGCCCTGACCATTTGGGGAAATTATGTACACTGTCTTTATTGTTCTGGGCATCCGACTTTAGTCCATCATGGATTTTGTTTTTCTTTTCACCTTCCCCTTTTTTTCAGTAGAAATACTTCTTAGCTATTCATTGAGGTGAGTGGCTTTATTGGTACTTTTTTTAAGTGCCCCAAAATGTTAGGTGCTTCAAAACAAACAGTATCTCTACCCAGAAGAGCAAATAATCTTGATTTAACTTGACACTACATGTGAAAATCCTAAATCAACAAGGATAAAGGAGGGTGGAGTGGATTAAAGACAAGTGACAATAAATAACATGATTACTCAAACCATCATGTTGTGCAAGTGCCTTTCTGATTCCCTTTTTGAAATTATTTTTTTAATTTTAGTTACCTCTGCCCCTTCGCTTAAAACCTCACTTCCAAAAACCTTACAAGAATAATTTTTGTGACAAAGGAGGTTAGCTTGATGAACAGATTTGGGGAGGGCATGCCAAATGTCAGGGACAGATGCTTATGGAGCAAGGTAATAAAAGGGGTATCAAGGTTGACATCATTGGAAGTGTGGAGAAAAACAGTGGGGAATATGAAAGAAGGCCATGTCCAATTTAGATTTGGGCTGTGTGGTGTAGGGACCTAAAAGTAAGAACAAAATGTTTGTTTGAATTGGATGTGCAGCACTATTTGTAAGCTCTCTAGGACACACTTTTTGTACCGCACTTACACAATGAAACCCCGATTCTGTTTGGAGCCTTTGGGTTGCTATCATCCTCTTCTGGTTTCCTCCCATTATTATTTCTTGTGTATTGAAAACCAAGGGAGGACTGTCCGGGAAGAAGGAGTAATCAACTGTATCAAATGCAGAGGCAAAGTCAAGAAAGATGAGCATAGGCTTTGAGAATTGGTGAGGAGGAGGTGGTTAGTGGCGTTAAGAGCGGTTTCAGTGTTTTGAAGAAAGCAGAAAATAGGCTGGAGGGATCCACGAGAAAGTGAGAAGAGAGGAAGTCAATGTAACAGTTGTAAATGGCCTTCTTGAAGAACTCGAAGGTAAAGGTAGGAAAGGAAAAGGTCTGCTATCTGGAGAGGCAGATTACAAGGGGGAAATGCTTGTGGTGAAAGGAGCAAGAGGACAGGGCTTTTGAGAAGGCGAAAGGATTGAAATTGATGAATAGTAATCTCTCAGGCTCAGTGACTGGGGAGGCGAAGAGGAGAGATCAGGAATGTAATGCCAGTTTTTATGCAGACTAGTCAGACTGTTGTCAACATGGGAAAGTGAGTACAGATGGATTTACTGTCATTCATAACCTTTGAGACATGGATACAGAGGGAAATATCTGCAGTGTAGGGGATGGAGGATTCATTGTCCTTCCTTTTTCTTTTTTTCTTGTAGGACCCAGATGCCCCCATAAGACAGAAAATGCCACTCGATGATTTGGATCGAGAAGATGATGCCAGGTTACTCAAGTACCTATTCACTCTTATCAGAGCTGGGATGACGGATGAAGTAAGCCACAGAAACCTGTAGTGTCCTTCCCTTTCCTTCGGACTTGTTCAACCATTATAAAAACTGATTTAGTTCAACCACTACAAACTTCTGTGTGGACATGCTTATATCAGTTTAGCTTTCATCCGATTACAGGTGCTGATTGCTGATGTCACATGTTAGCTAAACTGCTATAAATCAGTTTTTAACTGATATGAGTGTCCACACTGAATTTAAAATCATACCTTTAGTTAAACCAGTGCAACTTTGGGTTGAGAGCAGGCATTATGGTAGATAAATTGGACTTAGGGCTGTCAGGCCAGCACATTAGTAGCACTGCTTGGTACTAAAGTGGCTTAGTACTGACTGCTCAGTGCTGTATGATACAGTTAGAACATCTGAAAGAGCTTGTAAACTGCGCCTTTCAAAACTATTAAATTATCCTGTGCACCTCCTTTTTCGCATATGAGTGCTGTACAAATTTGAAAAATAGCATAATTGATTCTTCTTGGGTTTCCGTCTAGTACTGAATTGCAAGGGTGCTTTTTTTCTGTTTGCTGATATAATCATTTAATGATGGTTTTACGTGGCTGTGGTAAACATTAAGAATGGCTTCCTTTCTTAATGATGACTCCGATTTGAAGCTATGAAAATAGCACCCGGATTTCATGTTTACTAGGAGAAAGATGACTCTACTTCACTTCCTTTTTTCCTCCTTTTTCTGTTGTCCCTGGCAAGCCATAAATGCTTCAGTAGTCAAATCTCTCTGAAGAACTCCTGGATAGGCATGCATAGGATAGTAGGAGTTTGTGCTTTTGACCAGCACAAAAGAGGTTACTCTTCTCTTCCATTAATCCTTTGGCTGAATGTAGCTCTGCCTTTTTTTTTTTTTTTAATACGGTACATAATTTGTGGTGTAAATCTACTATTGCCCACAAATTTGAGGGGAATTACAACACGGTCACTGTGAGGTCAGCCTGCCGTGGTATGTGCTGTGTTCTCAATTCAGCAGCACCCTTGCAGTTCCTATCCTGGGTCTGTCTTGGGTAGAGGCTCCCCATTGTGCCAGTGGTTTTCATGATTAATAATTAAATATTTGTATTATGGTAGCATCTGAAGGTCTCCGTGGTGGGCTAGGGGCTGCCGGGATGCTAGGCACTGTACCCATGCATAATGAGGGGGAAGAAGTTCCTGCTCCAAAGATCTTACAATCTTAGGAACATAGGAATATAGTCACTTGTTAGAGATGAAAGTATTATCCCACTATCCCTAGCTATCAGTGTTTTCAGTTTTCTTCCCTCTTCATCATCATTCCCAAAAGTGACAAGTTATTGCAGACACTGCAGCTTGAAAAGACTAAAGAAAGCATGACCATTTAACACAGTCTGCCTCACTATTCTGGCAGTTCTGTCAGTCATGGAATTGATACATCAGTTAGATAAGTAAGTAACTGGGTGTGAGATGAGTAACCTTCAACAACGTGTGCTTACTTACAGTCCACGCAAGCCTATTTTTTTTCTCCCCTATCACTTTTACTCCTGCTATATATTCATATAGCTAGAGTAGGTACCAAAATTGGCTTTGGTGGAAGCAGACTTCTTGAGTAAGACTATTCATGGCAGTATATAGCCTGATTTATATTGTCAGCACAAAGGATGGAATTTTCCAAAGCACCTGAGAGTTGGGTACCTAATTCCCTCAATAACGTCGAAAAATTTCACACAAAAAGATGGATTTTAGGCCTTTGCACCAAGGGGCATATTTTCAGAAACTATAAAATACTTCATCTAAAACAACTAGAGCTGTCAAGCGATTAATCGCGTGATTAAAAAGATAATAGAATACCATTTATTTAAATATTTTTGGATATTTTCTACATTTTTAAATATATTGATTTCAATTACAACACAGAATACAAAGTGTACAGCGCTCACTTTATATTTATTTACAAGTATTTGCACTGTAAAAATGATAAAAATAGTATTTTTAAATTCACCTAATACAAGTACTATAGTGAAATCTCTATCATGAAAGTTGAATTTACAAATGTAGAATTATGCACAAAAAACCTGCATTAAAAATAAAAAAATATAAAAATTTTAGCACCTTCAAGTCCACTCAGTGCTACTTCCTGTTCAGCCAATCGCTCAGACAAACATGTTTGTTTACATTTGCAGGAAATAATGCTGCCTGCTTCTTGTTTACAATGTCACCTGAAAGTCAGAACAGATATTTTCATGGCACTGTTGTAGCCGGCGTCGCAAGATATTTACGTGCCAAATGCGCTATAGATTCATATGTCCCTTTAATGCTTCAACCACCATTCCAGGGGACATGCATCCATGTTGATGACTGGTTCTGCTTGATAACAATCCAAAGCAATCCAGTCCAAAGCATGTTAATTTTCATTATCTGAGTCAGATGCCACCAGCAGATGGATGATTTTCTTTTTGGCGTTCAGGTTCTGTAGTTTCCGCATCGGAGTGTTGCTCTTCTAGGACTTTTGAAAGCCTGCTCCACACCTCGTTCCTCTCAGAGTTTGGAAGGCACTTCAGATTCTTAAACTTTGGGTCGAGTCCTGTAGCTCTTTAGAACTCTCGCATTGGTACCTTCTTTGTGTTTTGTCAAATTTCCAGTGACTGTTCTAAAAATGAACAACATATATGCTGGGTCATCATCCAGGACTGCTATAACATGAAAACAACAAGGAGACCGGTGGGACCTTAAAGACTAACAGATTTATTTCTTCAGCTGCATCTGAAGAAGTGTGTGTTTTTTTTTTTTGTTTTTTTTTAACCCACGAAAGCTTATGCCCAAATAAATTTGTTAGTCTTTAAGGTACCACCGGACTCCTTGCTGTTTTTGTGGATACAGACTAACACGGCTACCCCATGATGCAATAACATGAAATATATGGCAGAATGTAGGTTAAACAGAGCAGGGGACATACAGTTCTCCCGCACGGAGCTTAGTCACAAATTTAATTAACACATTTTTTTAACGAGCATCATCAGCATGGAAATATGTCCTCTGGAATGGTGGCCGAAGCATGAAGGGGCATACGAATGTTTTGCATATCTAGCCATAAATGCCTTGCAATGCTGGTGACGTTGCAAATTAGAAGAGGGCAGCATTATCTCCTGTAAATGTAAACAAACTTGTTTGTCTTAGCAATTGGCTGAGCAAGAAGTAGGACTGAGTGGACTTGTAGGCTCTGAAGTTTTACATTGTTTTGTTTTTGAGTGCAGTTATGTAACAAAGAAAACTACATTTGTAAATTGCACTTTCACGACAGTACTTGTATGAGGTGAATTGAAAAATACTATGTTTTGTTTATCATTTTTACAGTGCAAATATTTGTAATAAAAATAATATACACTTTGATTTCAATTACAACACAGAATACAATATATATGAAAATGTAGAAAAACGTCCAAAATATTTAATACATTTCAATTGGTATTCCATTGTTTAACAGTGCGCTTAAGACTGAAATTAATCGCAATTAATTTTTTTGAGTTAATCGCGTGAGTTAACTGTGCTTAATGGACAGCCCTAAAAACTAGTTAGAAGTGAAGAATATACGACAATGGGTTAAGCCAGCAAATGAAAAAGAGAGGTAGTTGTACTATGGTGCTTCTCTTGCGCTGTTGAAAATACCTACTGAAAAATCCTATATACATCACTGGAAAACAAAACCAATGAAAAAATAAAACCTGGAATTTTTATTTTAAGATCCTTTTAGTTTGAGTTTAGACTTGCCAAAATATAAGCACATTAGTTTGTGCAAAGAAACACTTTTGTTGATTAACCATGTTCGAACATCTATGCATCGCTAGAGGAGAATACATGTGCTTTTGCTGCCTTGAAAACTGTTGCTCAGAATGTCCTTTGTTTTACAGGCACAACGCCTGTGCAAACGATGTGGTCAGGCCTGGAGAGCTGCAACTCTTGAAGGGTGGAAACTGTATCATGATCCGAACGTAAATGGAGGTACCTAGATCAAAATTTATCTGAAGCAGATCCAGAAAGAAGGCATAGGATTTTCTTGTTGTCTGGATCTAACTGTCATTTTAAGGCCCTTTTATGTTTTGAAAACACTTTCACAGGTGTATGGTGGGGAGGAACCTTCTTTGTCTTTATAGCTGACACCTTATGAATATTTTAACATTGAAATTTCTTTAAAAATGATTAAATTTGAAAGTGTTTCAACCAAATCCTGCTAACGCACCAAAAATTACTTTACTGAGATACTCTTACTCATCTACATTTCTTTAAAGCTTCAAACCTTAATGACTGGGAAACAAATATTTAAGGTTTCCAGACAGCCCCTCACCACTGCCTTTTAATCTTTCATCACACACTTTTGTGCTATCTAACTTATCCCAGCTATCCAAGCACTGTGCCCCCCTGAGCTCACCAAAGCAGGACTCCGTTCCTGCAGCTGTTAACAAGTCAATAAAAAGTTTTGGTGGTAAGAATTTCCCCTTTCTGGTGTAATGGGAATGGTGTACAATGGAGGAAAGGGGATGCTTTGAGACACATGGAAAGCTTTAAGTTCTCTACCACCTCTTCTTCAGTACCTTGCAGGATCGAGCCCTGTCAAGATCCAGTCCAGTTAAAAAAAAAAAAAAAAAAAAAAAAAAAAAAAAAAAGCATATGCTTTAGGTGCTTTGCTGAATTAGAGCCAGAGTGCCCAGTATCTCACAGGATCGAGCCCTCTGGATCTGGATCTCCTATATCTCCTTATTTCTCCTCCATGTCCCACCAGTGTACCCTGTATATAGCCTCTTTTTCCCACCCCAGAGTCTTCCTCTCGTATATACCCTTTCCAAGATGAGCGAGCACAGATCCATGTGCCAGTTGACGCCCTGCCTTGCTGTATTTCCTTTTAGTGAGGTATCCCTCAATCCATGTCCCTGTCTCTGGCTCAGCCCAGCGGTGGGAGTAAAAAGGTCTGTTTATGTTCATTAAGTTTTTGTTTAAGGACAAAACTGCAGCTAAACTTTTTGAAGTACACCTCTACCCCGATACAACGCAACCCGATATAACACTAATTCGGATATAACGCTGTAAAGCAGCGCTCCAGGGGGGCAGGGCTACACGCTCTGGCAGATCAAAGCAAGTTTGATATAACGCGGTTTCACCTATAACGCCGTAAGATTTTTTTGGCTCCCGAGGAAGTGTTATATCGGGGTAGAGGTGTACTGTAATTTTAAAACATGCTCACCACACTGCAGAAAAACAACCTCCTGTTCTGTCTGTGGCACATGGTAGTCTAGTCCCCTGTGGGCTGGTCCAATTTCAGTTGTGTTTAGTGTATGGCTACTGAGTGGTGTTGATGGCCTGTGATGTAGACTGGAAGTCAGACTAATGATCTGGTAGTCCCTTCTGGCCTTGAACTCTGATTCTATGAAACTTCAAATACCCACTGCTTTTTAAATTATTCTTTACATATAGGAACAGAGCTGGAACCAGTGGAAGGGAATCCATATAGATGCATTTGGAAAATCAGCTGTTGGCGAATGGCAGAAGATGTAAGATAAATATTACGTTGCTTGATATTGTTAATGGGTAAACTTTTTTTTCCTGAAATCGAGTGATGCTGACACTCACTTCCACACAGCTGAATCTACCCTTTATGCTTACATCTCAGAGGGATTTGTTTTCAGTGTTTCTGAGAGGATTCCTCAAGTGTGTAGTATATTTGTGTATCCTAATTAATCTGTGAAACTGGCATCACGACTGAGACAAATGGCTTAGGAAATATCTAAAAAGGATTAGTCTTTTTTTAGGAATAAGAACGAAACTGTAGATATTAGCTAAGATATCATTACAGGGACTGCTGATCTTCATTCTTCTCGGCATAAGATGATGCACTGGGGTCAGGAAAAATCTCCCCTTTCTCCCAACTCAATATAGTATTGCCTAATAAGGTATCTTGGGGGTTGGAGGTATATTTAGCCCTTCGTTGAAACAGCAGTCATTAACTATTTTTGGAAGCTGCTGAATTGACCCTGTTATAATGGATTGGTGTCTAGTAAAATTTCAAGTGATTATGAGGTTGAACAAGAACTCTAATAGAGATGATTTTTTTTTTTTAAATGTATGTATTAGGAGCAGTTTAATAGATATGAGAGAGCAATCTACGCAGCACTCAGTGGGAACCTCAAACAGGTATGTAATCTTTCATGTAAGATAAGTACTACTTCTCTTGGTAAAAATGCATTTCTTTCTCATAGCTGAGAGCAGAATTTTAGATAGCTAGCACAGTCACTTGTGTAATGTTTGTAAAACCTAGTAAACAAGAAGATCGTAAAAATGATAGACACCTTTACATCATTATCATATCTGAATTAAGCTAGCACAATTGAACGTTACAGGTTTTTTTTGTTTTTGTTTTGCTGTCTATCAATAGAGCCAATTCAGATTTTCCTGTTTTGGTCAGTCCAGATTTCTAGTATTCTTTGATAGCTACATTAAACTAGCTTTCATATGACAGAAGTGTGAGATGGAAAAGGACCTAATGTGCTATTTAGTCCACCTCCCTGCTGATGCAAGAGTATTTCCCATTTATCTTCACTATTTTGTGTGGTCTAGTTTTAAGTCTTAACCAATAAGCCGCTCACCACTTGATGAGATTATTCTACAATCTAATCTCACTGTCAGGTTTTTCCTATATTCAGCCAAATTGTGCCTTTTTCAGTTGTTTCCCATTACTCCTTTTAACACCTTAAATTATCCTCTTTTTTTTCTTCTTCTTGGTTTTAGACCTTTCACATATTTTTGGTATGTTTTCCCCGCCCCCATCTTTTATCACTAAGATATACATATTAATTTTTCTTTCATTTCCTCAAAATGTAATCCTTCCAATTCCCTAAGGAGGGCACTAAGTATGTTGGCTGAAGCACCTGGATCTGGGAAAAGACAACTTTAAGTTCTACATTTAACTGTAGCAACTCAAAGACCTGAGCATCATTGTTGATACATCAGCAAAAATCTCTGCTCAATGTGTAGCAGTAATAAAAATAAACAAGATGTTAGGATCCTCAAGGAAAGGAATGGACAGTAGTACTGATAATATTACTATTTATTCACATAATTCCATTATGTGACCGTATCTGGGATATCATGTTCAGTTTTGGTCACTCTGTCTAAAAAAGATATAGTAGAAAACTTTTGCTGATTTTGCATGTGGGATTAGACTGGGCACATTCACCATCTGGGAGGGGAATGAGTGCTTGTTTTGAGGATTTTTGCATGTAGTATAGCAGTTGAGGTTGCAAAGGCATTTTGGAAGGGTGATTGAACTCCAGTTCAGCAACTAGAAAGGAAGAGGTGGATCTGTGCACTTCTCAGTGGGGTTGTGGGTAGGCTCAGCAGCTGAGGAAGGGTGGGTATCTTGTCAAGGGCTTGCTAGTAATATTGGTGCACCCATGATTCCTCTGTTACTTATATTTTTCTCATCAGCAATTTAAATAGAAATCCATGACTTAAATAGAAGTATGTCCATGATTGCTGCATATCCCACGCACTCTTCCCTTTGATTTCCACTGTCCACCCTTTCCTCCAGCCCAGAGGAAGCAAATGGGAAGCTGCCTTGGAGGTGGCTGAGCCCCTTTCTATATAGGCATGAGATCCTCCCAGGGAGTGCACCCTGTGACAGTCATGAGCACAGTCAAGCCCCAAGTCCAGGCCCCATAACTAGTTTTGATTGTCACTTCTGAATAATCTTTAGGTTGTTCTTTGCAGCTGTTCCTACCTTTTGCTCTGAAACATTGTAAGCTTTTGGTGGTTGAATATCAGGGATTCATACTCTACTGAAGGGAGAGGAGTTAAAGTTAAGGGCCAATATTGGCACAAGAACAAATGGATATAAACTGACCATCAATAAGTTTAGCCTTGAAACTAGATGAAGGTTTCTAACCATCAAAGAAGTTAAGTTCTGGAACAGCCTTCCACGGGGAATAGTGCGGGCAAAAACCCAAAGTTTTAAGACTGAGCTCGCTAAGTTTATGGAGGGGATGGTATTGCTATTGCAGGCAATCTCCTATGGCCTACCTGTGACTGCTATTAGCAAATCTCTCCAGTGGCTGGAGATAGGCCACTGGATGGAGGCAGAGGGGAGCCCTCTGAGTTACTGCAGAGAATTTTTTCCCGGGTGTCCAGCTGTAGGGGGCGGGGGTGTCTTCCTCACATACTCAGGGTCTAGCTGATCGCCATATTTGGTGTCAGGAAGGAATTTCCCCCAGCTCAGATTTGCGGAGACCCTGGGGAGGGGTTTCGCCTTCCTCTGCAGCATGGGGTATGAATCACTTGCTGGTCTAAACTAGCATAAGTGGTGGATTCTCTATAACTTCAAGTCTTTAAATTAATATTTGAGGACTTCAGTAACTCTCTTAGAGATTATGGGCCTGTTGCAGGAGTGGGTGGGTGAGGTTCTGTGGCCTGCAATGTGCAGGAGGTCAAACTAGATCATGATGGTCCCTTCTGGCCTTAAAGTCTGAGTCTAAATAGAGGACATTCAGAAAGTGGAAAAGAAGAATGAATGGAGGCATGGACTGGCAATTGTTTACGTTGGAGAGGAGATGAAGAAAAGGGGGTGTGATAAAAGTATACAAAATCATGATGGCATAGAGAAGGTAGATTGGGCCCTGGTCTTCACTCTTTGTATAATAGAATGGGGATGTTCAATAAAATTGAAAAGCATCAAATTTAAAACTGATAAAAGGCGAAACTTTTTAACACACTGTAGTATTTGCTTGTGGAACTCATTGCCACAACATGTTGCTGATGCCAAGAGCTTAGCATGATTCAGAAAAGGATTGGGCATAAAGGCTGGAATTTTCAAATGAGCTTGATTTGGGTACCTTGCTCCTTTAGGTCCTTTCGAAAATCTGTGTAATATAGGTAGGAAAAACTTGGAGGTACAATACTAAGGATTAAAAATCTAAAAGAAGCTAAGTGTTTTGGAAGATACAGAAACCCTCACGATTCTGGGCATAATAAAACCAACATCTAACTAATGGGGTTGGGCTACAGCAAGATTTCTTGTGCCTTTCTTTGACCCATCAGAGGCCACTGTTCGAGACAGGATACTGGACTATATGGACCATAGATGGGATCCCATATGGCCACTACATCTTTGATATTTCTCTAGATCTGTTAATTCAGACATTTTTCTTTTTAACATGAAGCTTCTTCCAGTTTGTGATACCTGGGAAGATACAGTCTGGGCATATTTCCGGGTCATGGTGGATTCGCTGGTAGAGCAGGAAATCCGTACATCAGTAATGACCTCAGAGGAACTGGAAGAGCTCCCTAGAGAGTATTTAGAAACAAAGTAAGTCTTTAGTACTATTGTGCACTTTAACTTCAATAAAGGTCATATGTGATCTGCAGTCATTCAAATTAACTGTTTCTGTACCTTTATTTTTCTCTTATTTTGAAGCTGGACTTTAGAAAAGGTTTTTGAAGAACTCCAGGCTACAGACAAAAAGGTAAATACTTAATACAGAACTTCCAGTCAATGTTTTTGTGTATTTATATTGTCCCAGGGAACTGCTTTTAATCCAGTATTTATCAGAATGATCTCAAATATGCACTGGGACTGAAGAAATCAATGGCAAGCTCTTTTTGTAAAAAAGAAAGTCATTTGGTTTTAATCTCCTTCTAAAAGGTTCTATTATAGATTTCCAAACATTTTCTTGCCTCCACAGGGGATATTTTTTTGAATGCAAATGAATTAAGTTGCAAAATTCTTCTCCTCACCCCCACACCCACCCCACAGCCAGCCCATTTGACAATGAAAGGAATACAGGCAACTTAAAAACCTGACAAATTCAAAAAATGAGGTACACTTGACCCCAACTTCCTCTGCCAAACTGGCTAACTATACTGAAGAAACAGTGAAGCTGACTTTCAAGTGCTCTCAAATGTACAAAGTAGGAAAAATGAAAAAAGAGAATTTTTCCCTAATCTTGTTTCTTGTACCAATACTAGATAAAATGTTCATGTGTGGTTTGGTTCAGTGTCCCTTTAAGAGGTTTCAGCTTTTGCATACTATACATAGTAGGAATCTGAACGATGTAAGATTTTATCACTTAAGTAGGTCACACATCCATAGTACCTTTAACATCCAGGGTGTTAATTACATTTTTTGCACAAGATTAGACTGAAGAAGACCTATTTATTTATCCCCTGTTAAATATTCACTTGATAACATGCAGAGAAATATGATTTAACAAGCAAACGCATATATATACATTCACACACCCCTACCTAGTTATCCCCATAATGTCAAATTTGTGCTTAAGGGCACGTCTTCACTACCCGCCGGATCGGCGGGTAGCAATCGGTCTATCGGGGATCGACTTATCGCGTCTAGTGAAAACGCGATAAAATCGATCCCTGATGGCTCTACCGTCGACTCCGGAAATCCACCGCGGCAAGAGGCGGTAGCGGAGTCGACGGCGGCGTGGCAGCAGTCGACTTGCCGCCGTCCTCACAGCCAGGTAAGTCGACCTAAAATAAGCCAATTCAGCTACGCTATTCACGTAGCTGAAGTTGCGTATCTTAGGTCGACCCCCCGCTGTAGTGTAGACCTAGCCTAAGACCTTTACAGTTGCATCTCTAGTATGTTCCATGCATTAGTTCCTCAAGGCACACAGGCTTTTCTTTGTGTATGTATGTCTGGGCTTCATTTTCTTGTCTGTTGCTCTAGTAGTTTTGTGCAATCCTTTTTCTCTTACCTTTCGAATTGTATACATCTTCATCATGCTCTTTTATTCTCACTAAGAGCACAAACATAGTTTTTTTTTTTATTTATTTTATTTTTCCCTAACAGCATTAATTTCTTAGACATCCTTTTCTTCCCCTCCCCCAATTCTACCATTCTTTTCTTATGTGGCACCCATAATATCTGACAGTACTCCAGGTGTATACTCTCCTGCACTTCGCACAGTACCCTATTCTCAGCATAGTTCTTTGATTCAGGTTAGCCCTCATCAGAGAGACCCATAATAGAATAGGGTCCAACATTGTATGGTGTATATGGTTTTCACAGGAAACGTGAACTGTTTTTCAGAGAGTTTTAGAGGAGAACCAAGAACACTATCATGTGATTCAGAAGTTCATTATTTTGGGAGATGTGGATGGTAAGCTTTGTTTTGTGACTTTTTCAAAGGTCAATTTCTTTTATTATTTATAGTTACTTTTATGGGAACTTACAAGTGAAAATGTTTCCTATCTTCTAACCGTGCAAACTCAGTCTGAAAGTCAAGCTGATTTCAAATCTGGCTTACATGATGCCAACAATAAAGATTCTACAATCAGAACTTTAGCTCTGCCTCCTCGACTAGTATTGACCTCAACAGTCCAAGCAGAAGTAAAAAGTAGTAAAATATAACTTAGTCAGAAAAGCATGCAGATTCTTCTGAATACATATGGGAAGAAGACTGGTGGAATAAAAATGTTGTCATTGTTCAGACTAGAACAGCACGTTGAGAGCTATGCTTTAATAAGATGGGGGAGGGATAGCTCAGTGGTTTGAGCATTGGCCTGCTAAACCCAGGGTTGTGAGTTCAATCCTTGAGGGGGCCAATTAGGGATCTGGGGCAAAATCAGTACTTGGTTCTGCTAATGAAGGCAGGGGGCTGGACTCAATGCTCCTGGGGGGTCTTCTAGTGCTATGAGATAGGTGTATATCTCCATATATATATATATATATATATATATATATATATATTTATTCCTGTTGGAACGTTCTAGCTCTCACACTTTGTTTTTATTTGCTGTATTTTACAAATACATTGTTTTGAAATATTTCTCAGCTGTCGTCTTCTCCCCCACTGTAAAGCTAATGTAGACGTGTACTTTGTGGCTACAGGCTTGATGGATGAATTTAACAAATGGCTTTCCAAAGACAGAAGTGTGCTCCCAGGGCACCTCCTTCGGTTCATGACGCATCTTATTCTGTTTTTCCGCACTGTGGGACTGCAGACAAAGGTAAATTCCATTTGTTTTATTTAATTATATTCTGCCTCTTGCCATGAAACCTAGGCTCACTGAATTAAAATCTATAATATATACACACAAAAATATGATGTACACAAATTGCTAATAAACTGCCCTGAATGGACGAGTTGTTGATCCTAGAATCCAAAGTAACACTCAAAACAAAAAAAAAGTAAAGCGGTACAAAAAGACAACCAAATCCTAAATAAAATTAATATATCTTACAGTGCTTGCCAAATTTTTGTGCAAGGAGAACAAATGCCAATCATAGGAGCTATTTACTGATCAAGACCCTACTGCCAAACTCACTGTTTTAGGCATTGGGATTAAGAGCATCTCAGCTACTATGAGTATGAGGCAAGAACCTGGTATCAGACCATTCAGGGTTTTAAAGACCATGACTAACAGCTGGAATTGCACCTGGTGCTATGGGCTTGTAATCACCTCTACTTAAATAGTAAGCTGCTTCATTCTGCACCAGACGAAGCTTTCAGGTATTTTTCAAGCATAGCCCTAAGCATAGCATATTGTCAACTAGAGGCTAGGTGACAAAAGATGTGGACTGACTAAGAAAGGAGTAGTTGTACCCTCACAGAATCATGGAAATGTAGGGCTGAGAGGGATTCAAAAGTTAAGTCCAGTCCAGCCCCGTTTTGAGGCAGGGTCAAATAAACCTAGACCATTCCTGACAGGTATTGGTCCATCCTGTTCTTAAAAACCTCCAATGATGGGGATTCCACAATGTCCCTTGGAAGCCTATTCCACAATTGAACTACCCTTTATAGTTAAAAAGGTTTTCCTAATATGTAACCTAAATCTCCCTTGCTGCAGATTAAGCCCATGACTTCTTGTCCTAACTTCAGTGAACATTAGACATCAATCGTTCTCTGACAGTCATATGCAGTCTCAGATAATAAAAGGCACTGTGAACTGCTGCCTGCAAATGTAGAAACTCCAGACTGCAAACCGTTTTGGCAAGACAGCCATGTATCCTTATTAACTGATGTAGATGCCATTCCATCCCGTTTTTCTAGATGTTTTCTCATAACTACAATCATCCCTTTAATCTTGTCAGGATTTCAGTCAAAGCCAGTTTGCATTCAGCTAAGTCTTTCTTAGCCTGACACTGGGAAAGTAGTGAAAGCAGATCTAAAGCTGCATTGAACTAGGTATCAACCTACTACAGTTACTGCAGGGGCAACTTCACACAAGTACACTAGAAGGAAAAATGAGTAGTTGAATACTACACTCTGAGGGGAAAGAGTGAACTTGATTAAGGGCCACTCCGTCAACCCTCACTGAATCCCACAAGGAAGATGCAGTTTTGCAAACTCTTGTGATGTGTTTTTTGTTTTTTGTTTTGTTTTTTAAAGCTGCAGCTCGTGGAGGCACCTTTTTAGCACGAGATTCTCACTTCATGGTTTTAGAGAAAAGTTTGCAAATGTGACTTGTGTGTATCCTAAAAGGTCAAAATCCTGAAGGCAAATATAAAAACTCAAATTTGATCCTTACTGTGAAATTGACCAAAAAATCTTATGACTTTTGTGGGGCATGACTCATAACTAGGGCCCTACCAAATTCATGGTCCATTTTGGTCAATTTCACAGTCAGGATTTTAAAAAAGTGTAAACTTCTTGATTCTAGCTATTTAAATCTGAAATTTCACAATGTTGTAATTGTAGGGGTCCTGACTCAAAAAGGAGTTGAGGGAGTCGCAAGGTTATTGTAGGGCAGGGTTGTGGTACTGCTACCCTTACTTCTGTGCTGCTGCTGGCAGTGGCGCTGCCCAGGAGCCCAGCTCTGAAGGCAGAGCCACCGCCAGCAGCAGAGCAGAAGGATGACATGGTATAGTGTTGCCACCCTTACTTCTGCGCCGCTGCTGCTGCTAGCAGGGTGCTGCCTTCAGAGCTGGGCACTCGGCCAACAGCTGCCACTCTCCAGCTGCCCAGCTCTGAAGGCAGCACAGAAGTAAGGGTGGCAATACCGTGACACGCGCGCCCCCCCCCCCTAAAATAACCTTGTGGACACCCCCCACAGTAACTTCCTTATGGGTCAGGGCCCCCAATTTGAGAAATGCTGGTATCCCCCATGATATCTCTCTAGTATAGGTAAAAGCACACACAAGGCCAGATTTCATGGTCTGTGATGCTTTTTTCATGGCCATGAATTTGGTAGGCCCCTTCTGAACTTTTTTGGGTTGGGGATACTGGAGATGTCAAAACCTCAATCAGCAGTATCCAAAGCTACTGATATTGAATAAAATCCACATGTACAGCTTTAGCTTTAGCTTTTTAGCCTTTTAAGGTGCCATCGGACTCCTCGTTTTTGTGGATACAGACTAACACGGCTACTCCTCTGAGCTTTAGCCTAGTCAGTCAGCAGGATGAGATCAGCCACCCTCAATAGCAATACAGTCAGTCCAAGGTCAGAAACCAGACTACTGGTGATGTAGGAAACGTGTATGTTACCTGCCCAGTAGTGCCCCCTGCTGGCTAACTGTGGCTCTGCAGCGCCCTGCCTCAATTTCTTTCTCTGTGCCCCCTAAGAACTCCAAAGATATAAGATGCAGTCCTGTTCTATGGAAATGATTGAGTCAGAGACTCTGTACATCAAGATCTAGACATGATATAGCATAGGACTGTAAAAATTCTCTGGGTAGCAGGCACTGATACTTGGAGCACTCTTCAGCCACCAACTATATCTAAGATATGAAGAAGCAGGAGATAATGAGCAGAACATGGTGATGCAAAAATATGATGCAGGGGTAAAAGCTGCCTGTTCCTTCGATTGGTGGTTGTGTGGACAACAGATGATGATTACAATTTTCCACAGGACAGGAACTGTGTGTGGTCTAATGGCTGAGCACTAAAATCCCCAGAGCATTTTCAAAACCTCATTGGGACCAGGGGACCACCAGCCTTCAAGAGCAGACCATAGAAATGGGTCCACCACCAGAGCTTGCTGCTGCAGTGAGTAAATTACTGAAGCAGTGATATTCAGCTAGCTCTGTGTCTGCATCTAACCTTGGCAATCTTATGAGTGCAATGGGGAAAATGGCAAAAAGAGATACATAGTGAAAGCAACTATGCTATTTTACTTAAAATTTAAATCTTTTTTTCCAATTAAGGAGGAAGTCTCTGTTGAAATCTTAAAGACCTACATTCAGGTAAGCTTTCAAAAGTATAGGGGCTTTTTCTGCTCTGCTCAGCTGTGGTTGGGGGTAGGGGAATAACAGGCAGCTTTAAAGTTACTGTAGCATATTTTAATGCAACAAATGGAAACGCTTGAGGGAGAGCTATGAAAAATATTAATTAATGCATCCTACTAGATGCACAGGAACTCACTTGCACATACTAGAGCTTGTGTTAGTAATGCCTAGAGACATGTCTACGCTTACCTGGTATTGATGCTGTGGTTATCGATGCACCCGCTAAATCGACCGCAGATCGTTCTCCCGTCAACTCCGGTATTCCACCGGAACGAGAAGCGTAAGATAAATCAACAGGAGAGTGTCTCCCGTCGACCCAGTGCAGTGTAGTCACCGCAGTAAGTCGACCTAAGCTACGTCAATTCCAGCTACCTTATCCATGTAGCTGGAGTTACCCCCTGTAGTGTAGGCAAGGCCTAAGTGAGAACCAGTTTGATAGACCCCTGCCTGTAAATGAAGATTCAATTGAATCTTTTTGTCTAATCTTGCTTTTTAGAAATGTGTGTTCTGCATTCTGATACTCATCATGATGGTGGGCGGTGTATATATGTAAAAAATAGAAACGGAATATAGAATGGGTTCTGTACAGAAGCATATTCATTACTGTTGTTTTTAATATTTATTTTTATTCTGTAGCGGTTGGTAAGTGAGCAGCACACAGATCTAATAGCATTTTATGTCAGCCACTTACCTCAGGAGCTAGCTGTTGCTCAATATGCTGTATTTTTGGAAGATGTCACTGAAACTGAGCAACGTCACCACTGCCTTGAACTAGCAAAGGAAGCAGGTAAGAAATGCTGATGTTAGCCTTATAAGCTTTTTCTGCCTTTGATGTTACCTTTCAGAAACATTAGTTCCATTATTACTAATCCCAGCTACACAAATGTTGTTGATCAGTTTTTACTATTTTCAGTTACACTAAATTTATAACATTTTTGTGAACAGTTACATTTTTAGGACTGGCCTATGTTTCAGGAGGATCAGTCTCTTTATAACTGTTCCCTGGAATTGGATTTTTCTTTCTAAATTAACCTGTTACATTTTTTTAACATGCAGTCACTTCCGAACCAGATAGGAAACAAATGCCAAGTTAACTGCCTGACTGATCCATGTATCCTTATTTTTGCAATGAGTTGGCCGAGGCTTTCGTGATTCCTACCCAGGCCTGAATTAAAGAGCATGCAACGAAGGCTGTTGTCAGACCCATGTACTGACTCAAGGATTTGGCAGAGCTGTGAAGCTCACTGTCCCTCTCCCTTCCTGCTTACATTGCTGCTTTCTAATACTCCATTGTGGTTGTAAAATTAACGTACAACCTTTCCCTTCCTCTCCTCCCCACTGAACAAAACTCCAGCTAAATGGCCAGCTTTGCTGCTTGCCTGGGAGAGGCCCTACTGTCACGTTCAAACTGGAATCTCTTGCATAGAAATATCTTTACTGTGGTGCTGTCTAATCTGTTGGTCAATGCAGCTTCTATGCATGTCCTCTGGTTCATAAATACCCTTTCATCTAGGAAATATTCTGCCTCCTTTTTGTTTTGTTTTTTTCTGAAACAGTACACTTTTTTTATTTAGAAAACAAGACAGTATGGCAATATAAGTATACTTTCTTTATATTCATAATTGGAAGGGTGTCTATTTTTTCTTTAGCATTTTTATTCATTTTCCAGAGACAATTTAGCTAAGATAACATCTCTTGCCAAACGAGTTACTGATACAAAATCTACAAAGGCACTGCTGTGAGGTTCCCTTAGTCTCTAGATTATTAAATCAGTTGTGTTGCCTTCTTTAGTCCAGGGTTCTGGGAATAGGTGGGTCTTAAAATATGTGCCTATATATCAGTCCTACTACACAGACAGAAAAGCATACCTTAACTTTAATTGTTTTACTGTCCCTTCCCACTGTTTGATTTTTTTTTCTTTAAAAACTCAAATGTCATTCTCCTTAATGCTGATTTTCAGTTTTGCATTTCAAAATCATATGGGTCAGCCTTGCAGTGAGCACAGTCATATAAGAATGACTAGCACTAAAATAAAATGATTGATACACATCCTATAAAGATTGATTAAATATTGGTGTATATAATTTTATCTTAAACTTAGGTCTGGATGTTGCAACCATAACAAAAACTGTTGTTGAAAACATTCGCAAGAAAGATACTGGCGAGTTCACTCACCATGACCTTGCACTAGATACAGGCACAACAGAGGTAAATGTCTATGTACAGATTTCAGCCAGCAGTACAAAAATTCCAGAGTGCAATATGCTTTACCGACAGTGTCCATATTTCTGTTTTCAAGCAAATGCAGAAAGCATGTGCAAGAGAGTGACACTTACTCTAGGGGGAGGTAGGCAAAGAGGTGAAACAAGTGAATTCATATTGTGGGTTTGGTTTTTGCATCTCTTGATCTTTCATGGCTGCAGTATGTGTTGATTATATCCACTCTTCAGAGAGTAAACAGTGAATGGAGATGAAGTCAGTAACACACTTCTGGCAAGGAGGTGAAAGTGGTGAAGAGCTTCTTATAAATTTGGAAAACTAAATCTTCACCCTGATGTAAGAGCATGTGCATTTGTTCTGTCTGTCTTCTCCATCTCAAGAACAAGTTTTTGATCTGACCTCACTTTAGCACATTACTGACTGGCATACTTAAATTAAGGTGGAAAATGAAAACTTGCCTCCTGCCTTAGGGTCGTTGTCAACACCACTCAACAGCAGCTAAGCAGTACTTTGGTGATCATGATACTGTAATTAGCCATGAACTCACTTTTCCAAAGTATGATATGCGAGCAACTGGCTGAGTGGAGCTAGAGGAACCATTTGGCAAATATGTAATATTTCAGTCTATCCAACAAACTGTTAACTTTTAAAGAAATAGAGGCAAGATTTTGAGATGCAAATCAGCAGCTTGTCCAGTGGATAGTAATTAACTGAAACTTTGACTGGAATAGATTTTGGGTGGAATTAGGCTACCAGAGAATGTTTGTTTTTCCCAAATCTTTTGGTAGTAAAACTGTGATTAAACCAGTCTACCATAAGCGTCCCATAATGCTGTCTGGAGACTTCTTGGTAGGACACTATTTAATGCCCAGAACCAAGTGTATTTAACATTTTTGCTTTACCCTTGAAAAAGATCTTAAGTCTAATAAATATGCTTTTACAGGAAGATCGCTTGAAGATTGATGTGATTGACTGGCTGGTATTTGATCCTGCACAGAGGGCTGAAGCACTTAAGCAAAGCAATGCTATAATGAGGAAGTTCTTGGGTACTATCATTTTACAGATTTTATTTGTGTAGTAGATTTTTAACATAGTCTCATTGACAATTAGTCTCGGCAATCTAAGAACATTAGATTTGGACTAAAATCATATAGCTCATTAAAGAACATGACTAGGACAAGGAAGAGGGTCAAGTATCCTCCATCTTGAAATTATAGCAAAATTGTATCATAAGTTTGTCACCAGCATTAACCAATTCTGTAATAACATTATAAAAGTACTGAAATTCTAAATCACATTGTCACAGCATCCAAGAAACATGAAGCAGCAAAAGATGTGTTTGTGAAGATTCCACAAGATTCCATAGCAGAAATATACAATCAATGGGAGGAACAAGGAATGGATAGTCCGCTTCCAGCTGAAGATGACAATGCTATAAGAGAGCATTTATGTATCCGAGCATACCTGGTGAGAATCAAATGCACTAAACGTTGGGTACTTGAAATCACTTACGGGTAACTATAATTTTTGCCTCTTATATTAGGATTGGAAATGGCTCTAGAGAAGCATGTACATATTTCAAACTGTAGTTGAAATGTTACAAAGTGGTGGTGGTTTTTCTGCACTGTTGACAAATGTTGACTCTTGAGTAACTTTGGAGAAGCAAGATGTGCTAAATTCTTCTATTGTAAAAATTTAACAAGGAGATCAATGTAACCGAGCAATTCACAGATCAATCGAAGTCTGAGTAGCAATCTTTAGCAAATGTTTTTTTCCAATGCAATTTAGGAAGCCCATGAAACGTTCAATGAGTGGTTTAAACACATGAACTCAGCTCCACAGAAGCCTACTTTACTGCCACAAGCAAGCTTCACTGAGAGAGTGGCCCATGAACATAAAGAGAAGAAGTATGAGGTATACAGAATGTGTAGATGTTAGTCTCAAAGTTTGTTGACAAAATATGTTGAAATGTAAAAATTATCACACAAATACTCTACATTCCAATAGTCCCTGTTTCAGAGGGACAGTCCACTTTTAATACAGTAGTAATGTACTAATTCACATTGATCGTGAGATCCATTTTGTGAATTACTGAATTTTGAATACTGAAAATGAATTTAAAAAAATCAAACATAGTAAGCCTTATAAAGCGCTCCTATATTTTACAACTGTATTTAATCTTTATTTATAGTACTTCATAATATACTAGTAAATATTCTATTGTAAAATTTTGTAAAAATATTCAGTCTTAGTAATACGAGACCTCACTACTACATTCTGCTAATAAATCTTCACTGGACAGTGAGGGAGAATGCTGTTTTGTGTGATGATCTATTGTATTTTACTACCCTCTTATGTCCTCTTATAAAAGATGTTGCAGGTTTTTCTCACCTAAAGACCCTCTTTATAGACTTCACATGTTGGCAAGTACAAAATATACTGTAGGTAGTTTAATTGAAACATGCAATCTTGTTCTGGAGAATATGGTAAAATAAGTTGTCAAAATATTATCATCTTCCTCTTATGTCTGTGTCTGCTTCGAAGCAATCTGTTTAACTTTCTTTATGTAGGTAATTAAGCATGCATGACAATGTCTATTAGCAGCTGGCATTTCAGCCAGCAGCTAAAATTTAATATTTTTTATTTAGAATTAGGTCTGTCAATGTCTATACATTAGATTAAAATATCAGTTCTATTAAAATAGGCCTTGGATATTCTGTTTACTCCTGTTTTTCTCCTTCAGATGGATTATGGTATTTGGAAAGGTCTCTTGGATGCTGTAACAGCTGATGTGAAAGAGAAAATGTACAATGTCTTGCTGTTTGTTGATGGAGGATGGATGGTTGATGTCAGAGAGGTAAAATGCACTCTTGTACCTCAGAACAGGCCTCCAAAAAGCTGTTTCTACCCAATAATAGGAGACATTAGTACTTCCCAGTTTCACTTGCTGTTGCTGCTCAGTTACAATTCACTCTGGTGACTTGACTATCACCATGAATGGATTTTTTCCCCCATGGTTGGGAATATGAGAATTGCCCTATCAAGTCCAGAGTCCTGTCTCTGACAGTGTTTAGTACCAGATTCATCAGGGGAGGTATAAGAAACCATGTAGTGGACATTTAAAGAATAGCGTGCTCACAGGAGTAGTTTCTTCTAAACTCCTTCAACTAGTGGCTGGCTTCTGCCCTGCTTGAGATCAGAATGTGAATTTTCAGGATAAATCTACCTAAAAGAAGTTTACACAATACATTAAATATGGTTGGAAAACATGGACTGCTTTAACTGGACACAGGCAAAATGTGGAGTTAGCAACCAGTCTGACTACTTAAGTTTCATAATAGGGTATTTTTCCCTAATTTCCTTTTGTTATTTTTTAGTTTAAGGAAAATCATTTTCTTTGCAATACAATAACCATTTGTAGATTGATTTTAAGTCTTCCAAACTTGTAAATATGTGTGTTAGCTGTTACCACTATATTTTGCTGCATGACTTTTTACCCCTGACAGTTAGAATTGGGCAGAAGTACTGTTGCTTTGTGAGGACAATATAATAAAACCTAGTAAAGGAATGTACTTGTAACTAATGCATGCTTTTCTATGGTAAGGATGCTGAAGATGACCCTGAACGAACACATCAGATGATCTTGCTGCGAAAACTGTGCCTGCCTATGATTTGCTTTCTACTTCATACGGTTTTACACAGCACCAGACAGTACCAGGAATGCCTGAGACTCGCTGATGTGGTTGCTTCAGAGCGACACAAGCTCTATGTGGTGAGACAGAGCTCAAAACCACTTATTTATTTGCGTTTTAAATCTAATGTAAAGAAATCCACAATTGTTTAGTAAAGTTAAAACTACTGATTGTGTTTGTAAATGAAGCTACAGTTAGAAAAACAAACACTAGGTCATACTGTTTAATCTTGTTACTTGCAGCAGTAAAGGATTTCCTGACAATTAACCCTTTATGCAAGTGTTTTGCTATGCTTTCTTTCAAAGTTGATAAGGGCCATGAGAATGACACAGAAAATATTCAGATAACCAATATCTCATTCTTCTGCATAGTGCCATTGGTGTGGTTTTGGTATTTTGTTTTTTTTTTAAATTGCATTGAGAGATTTATTGCCTTGTCATTACATTTCATTGCTGGTAGAGATCTTATTGAGCCAGTACTCGCTGATACATTGTACCAGGGCTTTTGTAAATTTAATACTTTTATGTTTCTAGTCCTTATGGCTGTGAAAAAATCTTTTTCCCGTGTGAATCAGAAAGGGACTATCTTGCAGAGTTTGCAGGTAAACCATCAACTGTAAGAGCTATGACCTGCCCAACTCAAGTGGCATTGACTCCGAAGACTAATGACAACAAACATATATGTTAATATTACCTATTTACTGATCTTTTTAGTGGAAACATCAAGCTGTTCTGAGTTAGTGAGTGGGTTTTGAGGTTGGTTGGATGACTTTGCGTACTCTGTCACTCTCTTCCAATCCTGACACCTGATCATGGAGTTCTTTATTCTAACCTATTTGTCAGACCAAGTGTTGAGACTACCTAGACATAAGTTGAGCAGCATACTTACACCACTGTTTACTTGCAAATCTGTCTCATCTGTAAAGAAGCTATGACCTCATGTATATATCTTTTATTTTCAGGTGTTTTCTAAGGAAGAACTCAGAAAGCTGCTACAGAAGCTGAGGGAGTCTTCTCTAATGCTTTTGGACCAGGGTCTTGATCCTCTGGGATATGAAATTCAATCGTAGTTCTACCATTCTAGTATTGACAGGAACTTTTGAATGGCACTATGAATGGGAAGTCTGGACATCCTGTTCTGTTTGAAAAATACATGAACTTTTGGGGTAATAATGTCTTTTGTAAAATTAAACTCAGATTTGAATATCTGTAATTGAAAAATGCTGACTAAATACGTGATGCAAGTTCATATACAGTCTTTTCTTTAATGTTTTTCCAATAAAATTGCTTCATAAGCAGAAACCCTAATGTTTGTTGATTCTAACGTAAAAGTGTACATTAAGGTGTCAGTGCTGCAAGTGACTCCAGATATGTGAACAGGCCCCTGCACTTGCTTAATCAGGCAATTCCACAGGAGCCATTTGTGAACTGGAACAGTCAGCCACCAGCAGAAGAAGAATGGATCATGGCTTCTGAACCTCAGTTGAGGAAGAAGGCTGTGCTGGTTAGAAACTAAGTGAAGGCAGCTATAAACATAATACATATTAAAACAAATGGAATAATGGGGAAGTTGATGGTAGGGAACTTTAATATAGCAGAAGTTAGGAATTCTAGAAAACTGATAGAGAAGCAAAGGGACAAAGGGAGAAATCTATGACCAGCATAGTTAAGGACAATAAAAAGGAGTTTCTTAAATATATTGGGAACAAAAAGAATCCTGACAATGGTGTATTGGTCCATTACTAGACAGAAATGGTAGAATTATCAGTAATGATGCAGAAAAGTCAGAAGTGTTCAATAAATATTTCTGTTCTGTATTTGAGGAACAAAGATCTCATCATATGGTCATAACTCTTTCCATTCCACTAGTCTCTTGGTAGAATGTTAAACACAAGCTGTGAAGTTCGACATTTTTAAATCCGGCCCAGATAACTTGCCTCCCAAGAGTTTTAAAAGAGCTGGTTCAGGAGCTTGCAGGACTGTTCATATTGAAAATCAACAAGTCTTGGAGCACTGGGGAAGCTCTGAAGACTGGAAGAAAGCTAATGATGTGCCATTTTTAAAAAAGGAAATGGAATGACTCAGGTAACTATAGGCATGTCAGCCTGACATCAATTCTGGGCAAGATAATGGAGTGGCTGATACAGGGCTCAATTAATAAAGGATTAAAGAAGGGTAATGTAATTAATGCATATTAAGATGGGTTTATGGAAAATAGATCCTGCCAACTAACTTGATATCTTTGAAGAGATTACAAGTTTGGTTGATAAAGGTAATACCACTGATGTTCTATACTTAGACTTCTGTAAGGCATTTGACTTGGTGACACATGAGATTTTCATTTAAAAAAAACCCTAGAACAATATGGATTAAAAACTGATTGTAATTTAATTGGAAATGGGAAATTGTCATCAAGCAGATGTATTTACAGTTGGATCCCTCAGGGATTGGTACTTGGTCCTATGCTATTTAATGTTTTCAATCAATGACCTGGAAGAAAACAAAACCATCAATGAAAGTTTGCAAATGACACATACAGTGAGGGAGTGGTAAATAATGAAGTCAGTGGTTCAGAGCAATCTGTATCACTTGATAAACTGGGCGCAAGCAAACAATATGCATTTTAACACGGCTAAATGAATACATCTAGGAACAAAGAAATGCAGGTCATTCTTACAGGATGGGGGACTCTATGCTGGGAAGCAGTAATGAAAAAACATTTGGGGGTCGAGGTGGATAATCAGCTGAATGTGAGCTGTGTGTGATACTGTGACTAAAACGGCTAATAAAATCCTTGGATGCATAAATGGTAATCTTGAGTGAGTAGAGAGGTTATGTTACCTGTTTGGCAATGGTGCAATCACTGTTGGAATACTGCATCCGTTCTAGTGCCTGCAATTCAAGAGGAATGTTAATAAATAGGAGAGGGTTCAGAGAAGAGCTATGACAATGATTAAAGGATTAGAACATATACCTTATAGGGACAGACTCAAGGAGCTCAATCTATTTTGCTTAACAAAGAGAAGGGTAAGGAGTAACTTGATCACAATCTATAAGTATCTCAATGGGGAGCAAATATTTAATAATGGGCTCTTCAATCTAACAGAACGGTATAACATAACCCAATGGCTGAAAGTTGAAGCTAGACATTCAGATTGGAAATAAGGCAATTTTTTAACAGCGAGGGTAATTAACCAATGGAACAATTTAGCAAGGGTGGTGGTGGATTCTCCACTGACAGTTTTTTACATCAGATTGGATGTCTTTCTAAAATATATGCTATGGATATGGAATTATTTTGGGAAAGTCCTAGGGCCTGTATTATACAGGATGTCAGATTACATGATCTCAATGGTTCATTTTGGCCTTGGAATCTAAGAAGTGCAGTGAAGAAGGGAATGAGGCTGCAGGGAAATGTGTGTAAGGAAGTGGGGAAAGAAGACAACAGTTGGGAGGAAGGGACATTAAATTAAGAACACAAAAAGGGAGTTACTAACCCTTTCAAAAAAAAAAAAAAAAAAAAAAAAAAACACTAATTGCTTTAAAGGCAGTTAAAATATCTGCATATGTTCTTGATATTACTCTTTCATTTCATGTAAACAGTGTAGTTGCTTCAGGGATGGTGTGATCTCAAAGGGGGAGGACGTGGTCCACGTTTTGAAAAAGTTTGAAAATTCTTGTGCCAGAATCATTATTTCCTTTAGAAACCCCACTTTCATTATGTTTATAGCCATCATTTTAATTACACATTTAACTAAAACCTGGAGCTGTCTTTTTTTTTTTCCTAGATGGAGAAGAGCAAAGAGGCTACAGCTAACTATTGCGCACATACAGGTTTTGATTTAGTAACCCAAGCATCGTAGTTCCTGGTCTAGCAGCAGCTCAGAGTTTGTAAGGGAAGCCTTTTGTCAGTGTCCATACCACAGACCCCTTCTGTTTGTATCAAGAAGCTGTTCTAATGGGCTGGGCAAGATAGAACTCCCTTTGAAATTCATTGCTGCTCTTAACAGTGGATATAGAGGAACAAGATACTCTCTCCTTTCAAGGGCTGGGAATGCTGTAGGGCCAGCTGAAACAGAAAGATGGGTGAGAAACTGAACCTAAGCATGTCAGCTCTGAGTACTAACCACAGTACCGTCAGCCAATCCTATACTTCTGCTTTTTTATTAAGATCAACTGATTTCCCTACTTAACCAGGAGCTTCACTACAACCACAAAAACAGAAGTTCTAAAAGATGTACTGCTTCTGGGTACTTGTGTACGTGTCCATTTCTGCATTGGCTATATTCAGTTCACAAACAAAAAGATGTCAGAACAGCATAGTCATGTGTTGCCACTAATAATAAAAATTCTGCAGGCTTAATTAGGCCCTCAGTGACACCTGTACCTTGAATGAGTTTGTACAGGTGTAATTGACAGGAACTTATTAAACATTTTCTTAATGCGCTGGTTTTTGAAGCACAAATGCCTACCAAAAGATGTAATGGGGGGGGGGGGGACGACGACACCTGAAACTTCTTAATGTCTCTGGAGAGGAACTGTGTTAGGTATCACTCCTCACAATGTTTGAAGCTGTTTTCCATTTTGAGTGGCTAGGTATTGGATGGTTTCGTTCAAAATGCTATCATTTGGCACCTTAAGAAGCTGTACTTGAATGGGCAAAAGAATTATTTAACTGTCTTCTATGGACAAGGAAACTAAAATCCTGTCTTTATCAGTGAGATTGTACAATGTTTAGGGCAGGGGTTCTCAAACTTCATTGCACCGCGACCCCCTTCTGCCAACAAAAATTACTACAAGACCCCACAATGGGGGACCGAAGCCTGAGCCTATTGGCGACCCACCGCCCCGGGCAGGGGAAGGGCCAAAGCCCAAGCCCCATCACCCTGGGGATGGGAGGGGGGGAACCCAAGGACTTCAGCCCCAGGCAGGCAGCCTGTAACCTGATCCCCACCAGCCAGGGCTGAAGCCATCGGGCTTTGACTTCGGCCCCAGGCGATGGGGCTTGGGCTTTAGCCCCCAGTCCCAGCAAGTCTAATGCCAGCCTGGTGACCCTATTAAAATGGGGTTGCGACCCACTTTGGGGTCCTGACCCATAGTTTGAGAAGTGATGGTTTAGGGCAGGAGTCGGCAACGTTTGGCACGTGGCTCGCCGGGGTAAGCACCCTGGCGGGCGGGCCAGCTTATTTACCTGCTGACGCGGCAGGTTCGGCCGATCGCGGCTCCCACTGGCCGCGGTTCGCTGTCCTGGGCCAACGGGGGTGACGGGAAGCCGTGGCCAGCACATCCCTCGCCCGCGCCACTTCCTGCCGCCTCCATTGGCCCGGGACGGTGAACCGCGGCCAATGGGGGCCACGATCGGCCGAACCTGCCGCGTCAGCAGGTAAATAAACTGGCCCAGCCCATCAGGGTGCTTACCCTGGCGAGCCGCGTGCCAAACGTTGCCGACCCCTGGTTTAGGGTAATGGAACCCAACCTGAGTTCTCCAACACTGGGCTACTTACAGAGCTACTGCTGCCCAATGTCCCTCAGGAAGATTTTATTTTTCAGCTGTTTCCCTACCGGGAAAGGATTTTGCTATATGGGCTAGTGGGCCACACTCCGTTCTCTGCGGGTCAGGTAGTTTGGGGGCATTTTTGCTGTGTGACAATCTCACCCTGGGGACACTGATTCGAGGGGTGGTGGGATTTTGCTGTGGGTTAATTTCTTTGAATACAGTGATAGGACTAGAAGGGAACTTTTGGGTCATCAAAAAGAACAAGGAGTACTTGTGGCACCTTAGAGACTAACACATTTATTTGGGCATAAACTTTT